TCTCTCTCTCTCTCTCTCTCTCTCTCTCTCTCTCTCTCTCTCTCTATGACATCTTTTTAGTTACCTTAATCGATTTGAGAGCTGGCCTGTTGAGTCGTTTCAAGTGGGTACGGATTTTAAGATCAGAAAAGGCATTACCGGCGGAGACAACTGAAGAAGGAATGAGAATCGCCACCGTCATTACCAGAGCGAAGAAGAAGCCGACCCTTGTCCAATTAGCCTCCATGGTTAGTAAAGAAACACAGAAAGGTTTAAGCTTTTCTTCTTTCTTCAACAAAAGAGATGATTTTTGAGGAAGGAGATGAGAGGTTTCTTCTTCTTCTCCTTCTTCGTCTTCTTTAGTGTTTATTTTTTTTGTTGGTTTATTATTGAGGTTGAGGAGGGGGGATTTTTGGATTGAAGTGGATTGCGTTTAATTCTGGGCACTAAATAACAACACTTTGGCAAAACCTTCATAATAACAATAATAAAGGACCCATTTTTTATAAATATAAATAGAGACAAGTAAGAAAGAATTTGGATTCTATTGCATAAGATTGGTTGCTTTCTTTTCTCTGCTAATATTTTCTTGTCAGAATCTTTTTCTGGAAAAATTCTAATGATAGATGTCTTTTTTTTTCTTATATTAAAAATTATCACATTTTACAGTCAACCTTTATAGATAAAGTAGATAAATTTTTACTGAACTGGAACATTCCACTCTTGTTTTCATACATTTTTATTGGGATTTCAAATAATAAATTTATTGGAATAGTGACAAAAGGGCTAAATAAATTTATTATATACCCCATACTAATAATAATCACTAAAAAGAAAAAAGAAAAAAACATATCACACTGGCAAGGATTTTAAATGCAAATCTCCATCTTATTCTTTCTGTTCTCATTGCCTAATGATGTCTATTAGAATAACATTACAAAAATCAATTTCTTACCTGATCATCGTCAGCTTAAGCAATTCCAATTATTTTTATGGTAGAGAATCTAAATCCGTATTATTTGCATCATCGTTTTCTTTTAGTTACATAAATAAATAACTAACTGGTAGAATCTTACCGCAATTTATTCAAGTAGACCAACACAAATCGCATACATAAGCGAGATTCAACACAAACTTTTTAACCTACAACGTTAGAACTTAAAAAACCTTAACAGAAAATGTATAGATATTGGCAACGAAAAGAACATAACAAACATATTGATACTAGTATTAAATTACTATAGGTCAACTGTTGAAGCAAATGTTGCACACTATGATCACTAATTACTTATTTTATACTAATATATAAAGGGTAAAATTAGAAAGGAGGAGCCGTGATTGGTTGGGAGAGAGCACCAGCAATGTGAAAAAAACAGAGAAGAGTGTAAAGTCAAAAAGTCAGAGAAGAGGCCACTCGCTCGCTCACTCTAATTGTCGGTTTAATATTATTAGGCGACGAGACATCTTCCAATTATCTTTCCTCTTCTTCCTTTCGTTTTCCATTCTGTTACATCTCCAACTTCATTTCCCACTTTGTATTTCTTTTCTTTTTAAGTCTCTCGGGACTTAATATGTCCTATACCATTAAATTTCATATTGGCCAAAAATACATACATGTTGCCTATTTTCGTACAAATCATCGTCCATTTTTATAATTTCACCATATTTTTTTATATGATTTCTATTCTTTTTTATTTCTTGCAATTTTATGTTTTTTGGCACCCTATTTTATTTATTTTTAAATAGTTTATATCCCATATAATATTAAGAAATTTATGTGCACCGGTACAAAGACAATAGAGATATTTTAGAAGGTGCAAATTGGTTGCATCTTCTTCTACCGTCCGTACTGATATCGATTTTTTTTTTTTGTTATTATTATTATTTGCAAGAATAAATACGAAAACTAAAGAAGCTTACAAAATGATGTTAGATGATGGTGCAAATATGTTTGGCTCCGTACTTTTTTTACAAGTCTTCCATTCGATTCAATGTATGTATTTTCAAATGGGTTAATTAATATTGTATACTTTTTTTTTTCCTTTACTTCTAGGTTGGAACTTTATTTGGTCTTTGCTTTGCAAAGTCAATATATTCACGAACGGCACCAAAATTAAAAAAGAAATGTCAAACATTTGTAATTCGATTTTGAACATCTTTGCCAACGATGTGATAAAAGTGTGGAAATGACATCATTGGTTCATTTATGCTATACACGTGAACCCCCTCTCCTCCTTCCTTCCCTCCCAAGCTCCCAATTGCTCGAATCTTTTGAAATTATATATGACATGTTCATATCTCAACACGTCAATCTGTTTCCCATTACCAACCCAAACTCTTTTTCTTTTTTTTTTTTCTTTTTTTCAATCAAATTTGTTTGTATTTTGCTTAATCATCATCCGCAGCAACTCAAAACATAAGAATTTTGACAGAAATAAACTTTTACATGAAAGATGATGGACAGAAAAAAAATAACTGAGAAAATAATAGAGTCTCAACAAAAAGACAAGAGAGAGAGAGAGAGAGAGAGAGAGAGAGAGAGAGTGGCTTCATCTCGTGGTTTCTTTAAAAAGTGCCAAAGGGGAATCTTGGAGTATTATGCTTAACTACAATGTCACGGGTTTTTTTATTGACTCTTTCATACACCTCATTTCTACGTCCCACTCACTTCATATTGTATTACACACACACTACCACCATTTCAAATCCCACGCTCCCTTTTGCGGATAACATACTGGACCACCCCCATAATGGGCTATTGCCTATGGGCCTCAGCCTCGTCGCCCTCACATATCTAAACATCAATCAAAGAGCTTCATCTGATAACCTGGAATCAGAAACACAATGTCAAAAGGGCGATCCACATTTCTCACAGTTTTAAGAGACACAAAACCTTATAACAATTATTGTGGTATTATTCAGTTACAGTTTTTAGAGATACAAACCTTGCATGTTTTGTGTTGTTTAACAATATCATCAACGGCGAAACGCATTGCCTTCAGCTTCAGTTCCACGCTGTGAATAATAGCTTCTTCGCCGCACGCTTTCTTCTATTGTTGAGCTCCCGCCTTTCTCTATCCCATACACACTTTTATTAGCATCGTCCAAAAAGCTCTTTCCCATGGATACTTTGTTCTTGTCAGCTTCCACTGCATCAGTCTCATCCGCTTTCTTCAATCTTCTCCATCTTTGCTCCTCGTGCACCTCTGCATCCATTTGCATTTGCTTCAATCTAGCAGCTCTCTCCTCTTCTGATAGTTTCGACCCTCCTTTCCGGCGTCTATTCTGGTATTCATTCTCCTTAGAGGGATGCTTTCCATTGTCTAAATCCTCTGTTTTCCTTTTTTTATCCTCTTGACCATAACTCTTGAGATTTTCCCTTTCCAAACCGCCTCTAGGGGAGTGATTCTGATATCTCTCATTGGTACGAGTTTCTCTATGACTTTCTCTTCTGTTTGGTTCATCATCCATATCTGACCTTCGTCTCTTATCTTGACTTTCTCTTCTTTTGGACTCATCATCCAGATCTGACCTTCGTCTCTCATAGTGCTTATCATGACTTTCTCTTCTTTTGGACTCATCATCCAGATCTGACCTTCGTCTCTCATAGTGCTTATCATGACTTTCTCTTCTTTTGGACTCATCATCCAAATCTGATCTTCTTCTCTCATAGTGCTTGTCCCTACTTTCTCTTCTTTTTGACTCATCATCCAGTTCTGACCTTCGTCTCTCATAGTGAGTATCCTGACTTTCTCTTCTTTTGGACTCATCATCTAATACTGACCTTCGTCTCTCATAGTGCCTATCACGACTTTGTTTTCCTTTTGACTCATCCTCTAAATCTGATCTTGGCCTCTCATAGTGTCTGTCATGCGTCCCTGATGTTTTCTGATGGTGGGATTTTCTTCCATTATTCTCTTCATCAGAATCTTCCTCCGAATCAGAATGGTGTCTGGATGAAGATTGCTTGTGATGTTTTCCACTTTTACGCTTATGCTTTTTCTTATGGTCCTTTTTGTCTCCATCTTTACCCTTTCCTTTTTCTTCTACCTAAAACAGAAGAAACTTTCCACCAGGTCAGTAGCTGTAGAAAAAAAGAACGGCAAAAACATAAAAAGATCCAATGAAAGCAAATTCAGTTATAGGCAAAAAAAAAAAAAAGCAAATTCAGTTGCAAACACACAGACACAGGAGCAGGACACAAAATCCTCCATGTACATAGCCAAGAGGAAAAAAATAAACTTACAGATTTGCGAATAAGAGCCATCTTCACAGGATTGTTCTTGATCTTGGCAAGAGCGTCCTGCTCACGCTGCCTGATGAGAAGCAAAGGGTCAGAATGAAGTTTCCTCCAAGAATCATTAGCAGATTGCGGCTTCTCCTCAAACAGCGCACCAGGAGCCGACTGATCTGGTTTCTCACTGGCACTATTACCAGCTTCAGCTTGGGCTAAAGGCTGCTCTTCTTTCTGAAACGAAACACCTGAACCACTCGCACTTCCTTTCCCTACAGCTAATCCTGAATCATACAAAAACTCCAATCTCTCTTGTCTCCTGCAACAAAATTAAAGAAAAAAAGTTCACAACTTCAAATCACAAATCACTGAAACCCCATCAAACTACCAACATATGCATTATATAGATTCTAATTACTCCAAATCACAAAAAGCATACGACTTCAGAACGACCCAGAACTCCAAATCACCGACTCCATCTCCAGTCGTTAATTTAACTAATCAATTACCAAAAACGAATCTTATAGATTCTACGCTAGAAACTCAAAACGCCAACCCTAATTCCCATAGATACCACCCAAATCAAATAGGATCGAGTAAAAGGAAAAAGAGAAACTTACGGAATTAGACCGGCTTGTTCCTGGAGAGCGCGAAACTCAGAACGCTCCCTCTCCTGCAAGATCTGGAGACGAAGCTCCTCAAGCTTTTTCTGTTCGGCCTCTTGTTTCTGCTCAGCCTTCCACACGGTCTCGATGTTACGGAGACTCCCCGTATGCCATCCCTTCTTGTTCAGAAATTTCATCCCCATGGCTACTCCTCTTGTTGTTTCTCCTCCTCTCGCTTCAAAATCTGGTCACCTTCTTCCCTGTTCAATCGCAAACTCGTCGAGGGTTGTATCTATTTGCTCCGTCGCCGCCGTATAATCGAATTAATGAGATGAAATCGGAGCCGTATGTTTTTAAAAAGCGTGTTGAAGGGTGATATTGTTATATTTGGGCCTCGTGTTAATGGGCCTCTTGTTAATGATCGTTCTAAACCGCAAATCTAAGCTAATTGGACCCGGTTTAGCTTGATTAAGTCCAATGAAACTCTCACTGTGTTGAAATAAGTCCCAAACAAATCTGACTCAACTACTACACATTTGTTGACATTATAAGAGCGTATTAACAAAGTCAATTACTAACTAAATAGCTTGTATGTTTTTCACTAAAGAGTATGCTTTTGAAGTAGAGAAAAGCAAATAACTAAAGAATGTGTTTTCTTTACAGACTTCAAAAGATGAATATTGATTGCGCGATGTCATTACACTCTAGGCTGATGTTTTCTCACGTCGCTCCATCATTAATTATCCTTTCACTTTTCTTTTCACCTGTAAAATACATAGAAACACAATCCAACAGGTCAGCAACACAATCGAAATCAACCACGATTCAAAATTGAAAGAAGGAAAGGTAACTTACAGATTTGCGAGCTTCCAGCTCTTGCTGCCTGATGAGAAGCAAAGGGTCAGAGTGGAATTTGCGCCAAGAATCATTGGCAAAGTGTGTCTTATCATCATCAAACAAGGCACCAGGAACCGGCTGCTTCCGCTTCTTGTTCTTGTTCTTCTCGCTCCTACTACTAACACTAGTAGCATCAGTTCTATCTTGATCATTCTGAAACAAAACACCACGTCCTGAACTACTGGGATTCTCTTTCACTACTAATAATTCTGAATCATACAAGAACTCCAATCTCTCTGGCCTCCTCCTACAAGAATAAACAAACAACAAAACTATAGTTAGAAAAACAACTCAACAAAAACAATAAGATTCCAACTGTATCGCCTAATCACGACTATAGATAATCTTCACATCATTCAAATTTCACTTCCAAAGGTTATTACAAACCCAATTAACACCAATGGAAAGATATATTCCAAATCACCAAACTTTAATCAATAACCGATCGAAATCGAATTTGGAAAACTTACGGAACGAGACCGGCCTGTTCCTTGATAGCGCGAAATTCAGAACGCTCCTTCTCTTGAAGGATTTGGAGACGAAGCTCCTCTATCCTTTTCTGCTCTGCTTCGTGCTTCTGCTCAGCTTTCCACACTTTCTCAACGTTTCGGAGACTTCCCGTATACCATCCCTTCTTATTCAGAAACTTCAACGCCATTGTTTCCTTCTTCTCCTTCAAATCGAAACTCGTCCAGGGCTTTTATAATCTCACCGCCGCCTTTAACAACAAGGACAACAAATCAGAGCCGTCCGTTTTTTTAATGGGCCTGTTTTGGACATCTCGCGATTTAATCCCGGTTTACTTTGGTTTAATTTAATTCGAGTGATGTGATCAGCGAAATTTGTTGTTTTCGGAAGTTTTGCAAAATCCAAATTCCAAATACTTAACTACGAACAATGCTCAGACAAAGCTAATTGATCATTAACACTCAGGTATTACAAGACAACTGATGTATATGTACACATTCAATTGTTATTTCAGGTATGTAATAAAACAGGTTATGAGTTCCAAGCCAAACCAAAGAGCTAGTAACTATGCTAACTATGGCTCGCTTTGTTTACTGTGTAGTAAGTAACCTTCTGGGAAAAAATTTATTAAACCGAAGTTGTGCACTCTTGCTGCACGCACTTCTTCTGGTGTTGGATAAGCTGGCTTCTAAGGTAGCATTCTTCAATCTGCAGAAGAAAAAATACTTTCATAATTTTATAAACTAAAAAATAAATAAAGGGTTATGTCCCTAAACTGTATGTATTCTTAGGTTTATACCTGTGACGAATGTGTTTTAAGCAATGAAACTCTGCAATCTTCTACTGATGCTTTTTCTCTGCTGCTTACTCTTGCTAGTTCCGACATCAAAGTCTCCATCTCTTGTGTCTGCAAAGTACATCAAAAGAAGTTGTCTCAGTTTCAACAATTGCTTGTGTAAATAATTTTGCTTCTGTTCTTAGTGTGAAGCACACTAATTGTAATTGCTTACCTTAGGCAACAGATTGCCAATGTTTTGCACAATGCCTTCCATAGACTTTGTAGCTACAGCAAGTGCTTCTGCTAACTCTTTAGTCTCAACCTGGTTTTGAGAAACAAAGTTCAAATGTTTAGTACAAAAGGTATAAAATGGAACAGTATTCTTCCTAGTTGATGAGACCAAAACAATATATACCTTAGTTTTTGAATCGAGAGGCAACCGCAATGAAGCATTCACCAACGCTTCAGTTGTTTCTGATAGTGAAGTTGAGAATTCTTCTTCAAGGGCAGCCCATTGTTCCAAAGAGGGAGTCTGCATAGAGTTAAAAGTAGTTTAGTCACAAATGATCACAAACTATATTTGCTCAAATGTGCAATTTAAGATCTTAGATACCTGAGACTGTACAATCTCTGTAACAGCTTTGACCCTCTGTAAATGTTGGAGTTCTATGCGTTTCTTCTGTACAGAATCGGACAACTCTGACATTTTCAAACCAAGGGAATAAAACATTCTCTGCAAGAACAACAATTTACAGTTAAAGGTGGAGACTTATTGCTACTTCATCCTAGTTCATAAGATTACCATCACCTAAACCACAATCACTTCTAAGACTGATGTTAATGTTTCAACCTTTGATCTATATACAAAACACAACTCTGAGATTGTGCAAAAAGCTATCAAATTTAGGATTTTTAGAGTTGAAGATCAGAAACTAACCTCGGCTTGTGCTTTCTGAGACTGTGTTTTAATCTCAGCATTTGCATTGGCAAATCTCCATTGCAAGTAGCGGTTATGGAGCAGTTTCAGAGAATGAACATCAGCTTGTTGTCCTAAAACTTTCTTCTGCTTCTTTGTATCAGCTTGAATCTTCGAATTAGGAGCCACCGGAGGCAATGACAAACCAACCCCATTTTTAAGCGACAATGAAGCTCTTACGTCTCGAAACATGGAAGCATCGTCGGAACTCAGGGATCGAGAAAGAGGTGAGGCGGTGGGAGTGTTAAAGACCTTTGCTTGGTTCCTGATTGCTGGCAACAGATCTAAGCCGTTGGATTTGGATATCTCTCTCTTGTTATCTTCTTCACCGTCCGTAGAGGAAGATAGGCTCGACCGGAGAAGCCTAGTCGCGGCGGAAGCTGTAAGCAACCGCTGTTGATTCAGCCGCGATCTAGACGGGGGCGGCAACATCGCCGTCGTTGGAGTGTCGAGACGGTGGCCGTTCTCCTTCAACGGCTTAGATCGAACCTGCTGCTTAGGGTTTTTACCTCCGTCGGCATGTTGGATAGGAAAAGGCGAGTCTAAGCTACGCGCCGTCTCGGTAGGACGATTCTCGTCGCCGTCTGGCATTTTTAATTGTCGTCTCATCCTCTGAGCCGAAGTGGACCGCTGATTCTGGTGTTGGTGATGATGCCTGGGAGAATTTGAAGTCAGCAGGTGAAGATCTCCGGCGGAAGAGGAGGAAGATGACGACGACGACGAAGAGGAAACGGGAGACATGAATCTAGAGCTCACTTCTCTCACTCTTGGCCGTCGCGTTGACGGTGGAGGAACCGGCGCCGGAGCAGTAATCGCCGGTGTAGATGGGTGTTCCATAGATCGGCCGATTCTAGCATCCATTACCATCGGATTTCTTCAAAAGACAGGAATTTGAAGACAGGAGATATTAATTCCGATTAGAAGACAGGAATTGTTCAAATCGGATTGGAAAATTTCGAAACCCTAGGCGAAGAGAAAAGGGGGAAGAATGTATAAGAGAGGAAGAGACAATGAGAAAACTAGCCGTTGGGTAATGCTTTCACTAGCGCAACGGTTCTCTTGTCCGTGAATCTGAATGAAACGATTGGTTTTTATTTTATCTAAATTGCTTTCTCAATTAAAGTAATAAAATTAGATAAATCAGATTAGTGTTGGTGGGCCTCTTAATATTGGTCCATTAAGGAGTGTGTTCTTTGATGTATAAGGGGTTGCAATTTCTTTAAACTTTACGGCATTTTGCAATTTCTTTAAACTTTACGGCATTTTGCAATTTCTTTAAACTTTACGGCATTTTGCAATTTCTTTAAACTTTACTACATTTTGCAATTTCTTTTTCTTGATAGACGAAGAAAATTTGGGAGTGAAAAAGGTAGAGTTTGACTTCTTTCTTTTGAATTTTCTTCAGCAAATTCTGATTGAGCTTGGTACGATTTTCTTCATATGGTGGGGGTGCCTTGTTAGAATTAGTTGAGATGGCGATAGGAAACTCAGAAGTAGCAACTATGGAGGTGGAAGCCGAGTCCTCTAATGGAAAAGAGACTCTATTAGATTCTGACTTAACGAAGAATCTTGATCTTGCTCTTGCTCAAGTGAAGGACGATGAAAAAGAAGAAGATGGAATCAAAGGTAATATGATTTCTCGTTTTGATTGATCATGAGGGGGAAGTGGAACAGATATTTTTTGTTTGTTCTTGTTCTCTTTCGTGTGTTCTTGATTATTATAATTAGATGGGAATTTGGATTCTTATTAGATTCAATAACTCTGCTTATGTCATCATAGATGCTAATTATTCTAGGAACTAGTCTACGTCAATTTGGTTCTGAGTTTCTCTAGTTTCTTCCTTTTCATGGGTTGGTTAATACTTTTGTCTTTTCATTTTAGCTGAGGCTTCAACAAAGAAGAAAAAGAAGAAAAGTAAAAGCAAGTGAGAAAATTGTTTACGTTTGTTTTTTAGTACTATAGAATGTTCAGTGTTTGCTTTGATGATCTTTCTCAAAAAAAGCGGATGATTGTTAATAGGAAGAAGAAGAATTCTCTTCAACAGACTGATCCACCTTCAATTCCTGTTCTTGAGCTCTTCCCTTCAGGTGAGTTTCCTGAAGGGGAAATCCAACAGTACAAGGATGAGTAAGTTCACATTACCTTGTCTAGACTAGATTCTATGTAACATTTTGTCTTGCTAGCCAATTCTATAATATTGTAATGTAGTCATTTGTGGAGAACAACATCTGAGGAGAAAAGGGAGATGGAGAGGCTGCAAAAACCGATATATAACTCTCTTCGCCAAGCAGCGGAAGTTCATCGTCAAGTTAGGAAGTATGTGAGAAGCATATTGAAACCTGGAATGTTGATTATTGACCTCTGTGAGACTTTAGAGGACACTGTTCGTAAGCTGATATCAGAGAATGGTCTTCAAGCTGGAATCGCATTCCCAACCGGGTGTTCTCTGAATAAGTTAGTTCTACCTTTTTTCATATATTTCTGCATTTCTTTTATCTTTTGCTTGATCAACGCGGCTCAGATTTACTTGAACATTCAGTGTTGCTGCTCATTGGACACCAAACTCTGGAGATAAGACTGTCCTTCAGTATGATGATGTGGTGAAGTTGGATTTTGGAACACATATTGATGGTATGATAAAAATAAAAACCTTTTTATATGTTTGTTGGATTTTTCTTATTGTAAAATGTCTCATAATAACAATGATCATGTTGTTTTGGCAGGGCACATTGTGGATTCTGCTTTCACAGTTGCGTTCAATCCAATGTTTGATCCTCTTTTAGCAGCCTCACGTGAAGCAACATATACTGGTATCAAGGTACTCCTTCTGTTTTAGCTGTGCTTCTGGTTCTGTGACTGTGACTACTTGTGAGATTCTTCTGTTCTTGGCTATGGTGAATGCAGACGTGACTTCTTCTTTGAAGTTTGCATTGTTAATTTCTTCTTGTAACCATATCGAGCTTCTTCTTAAAAGAACTTTCTCGATCAATCCAGCTGAATATGTCCACTGTGTTATTAATTTTGTTGGTTCAGGAAGCCGGGGTAGATGTCCGGCTCTGTGATGTTGGTTCTGCAATTCAGGAGGTCATGGAGTCTTATGAGGTTGAAATCAATGGAAAAGTCTTCCAAGGTAACCAATAACTTCAATGGCAAAAAAATTGGTAGTTTCTATTGGAGTATCATAAAATTTTAACAATGCTGTGTGGGCAGTCAAAAGTATCAGAAACCTGAACGGGCACAGCATTGGACGCTATCAGATACACGCTGAAAAATCTGTTCCTAATGTTAGAGGAGGCGAGCAGACTAAAATGGAAGAGGGTGAACTATATGCCATTGAAACTTTTGGATCAACCGGTAAAAACAACTCTCACATCACACTAGAAGAAATGTGGATCTTGAGAATTCAGCAATAAACTGATTTTTTTCTCTCTTTTCATATTGCAGGAAAAGGATATGTGAGAGAAGACTTGGAATGTAGCCATTACATGAAAAACTACGATGTGGGACATGTCCCTTTGAGGTTACCAAGAGCAAAACAACTCCTTGCTACCATAAACAAGAACTTCTCCACTCTAGCCTTCTGCAGACGCTATTTGGACCGCCTTGGTGAAACGAAATACTTAATGGCATTAAAAAATCTCTGTGATTCTGGCATAATTGAGGTAAACTTCTTAGGACTTTGTGTATATATTATATTCTCTGATCACTCTGTTTATGAACATATCTTTTGATGAAATTTGGTTTCTTTGATTTGTAGCCATGTCCTCCAGTTTGTGATGTGAAAGGAAGCTATATTTCTCAGTTTGAGCATACGATCTTGTTGCGGCCAACTTGCAAAGAGATTATTTCCAAAGGAGACGATTATTGAAATGGTGTTTTTGCTTTTGACATATGGTGATTTTAGCAGAATTTTATTTTAAAATTTTAAAACCCTCGAGACCTAATATATATATCTTTATTGTATAACTTCTTCCCCGGGTAAGAGCAGAGTAAACCCTAAAACCCGACAAGTTATACAGAGAAAAATTGAACAAGTAGTTGATGAATTCGTTAAACTTGGATCTATTGGAAATTATACTAGCGAGGTTACCGATAAGAACATCACAATTTGCAACTTGGTTTGCAAGAAATGGAAATCAATCGTGGAATCTAAATATCTCCGGGAGCTTTTCCTTTCTCATCATCAAAACTCGCACTCTTCGTGGTCGCTCATATGCAGCGACGCTAAAAACAAAGAAATCTTGGCTCACTACGGATGTGACAATTGGGGACTTTCACTATCCCTTTATTCTTACATCTCTTCTTTCCTAACCGACGAGTTCGAGAACCACAAGGACCCAACAGTTTATGTCCTGGCTTACACGGATGTCGGATTGATTTTGGTCTGTTCGTATTCTGATACCATCGGGAGAACCAACTATGTGGCTAATCCGATTTCACGACAATGTGTTGGTATCCCTACTCCGCCTCCTCAAACCCTACTTAGAGTATCAAGACCCGTACCCTCCGGACTCGTCACAAGAGTTGAGGATGGCGTCGTTTTAGGTTACAAAGTTGTTTTGATCAGTGCAAGAAACATCATCGATGTCATAACTCTACTTATTTATTCATCTGAGACCGGCTTGTGGAGTTTGACCACTCTCCGTTCTTCTCTCCTTTTGCGCCGTATTGTTTGGCACAATCCCGTTAACTTGAACGGAAGCCTTTACTGGCTCGGTTATGAGCAGTCTAAACCTAAAATTCAAGTTGTTGTATCACATGATTTCTACGCTAAATCTGATCTATGCCAAGTTTTACATTTCCCGGACGACTTGAATAACAAATCAGATTGTACAAGACTACCTTGCACAACTTCCCAAGGGTTTCTTATGTATATGAACATAAGTTTAGAGCGTAGGTTAAGTATATGGAGGCTAGAGAGCTGCGAATGGAAATTAGTAGCTCAGATAACTTCAAAGACGGCTTTTGATTACATTCCACTGGCAATAAACCCTTTTGATTCTAATATAGTCTACCTGCTGAGGAACATGCATCACTGTTTGGCATGTGCAAACTTGGACAAAGGCAAGTTTGAGGACCATATTAGCGACAGCGGCACTCTGACTTTTTCTGGCGACTGGGACACGGCGGTAAAAGATCACTATGAAGCATATCACACCTTTTCTCTCCCGCGTTGGCTCTATCGGATTCCTTCCTCACTCTCTTGAGCAAGGTGAGAGGCATGCTATACACTTGCTTCTCTTTTTTTTTCCTTATTATTTTCCGTTTCTTATGTAAGATGGGCAAGTTCTTGGATGTTGTTTGATATATTTTGATGTGGTTGTGGCATTTACACACTTTTGGTATCTTTGTTAGCTTGTTGATGGATTGTTAAGGAGACCATTACAAGACAACACATTCATTTCTGCATCTAAATGTGTTAATTTCTATTTATAGACTTATTTAAAAAAATTGTATGTATGTGACTGTTATGGCATTTGAAGTTATTTCTCTGTAGTCCCGAACTTTAAGGTCTTATGATAGATGCACACAAGTAACAAAACCACACTTCCAAATAATTCAAAATCGCATTGCCAAAAGAATTAAAACTCACTTATTTCAGTAATCATAAAAGAAATCGTTCAGATACATGAAAATAAAAATAAAAAATTCAATACCAAACTAATACCATCCAACTCTCCACGAAAGTTGTTTAAAGAGCTTCTCAGAAAACAAGGCCAAATTGTGATGGCGTCAATGCACTTCTTAAGCGGTAATTATAGAGATAGTAGTACTGCATCTGTGAATCTCCTCGATAAAACTTCAACTCTTTGACGAAACTCTCATTGTGCATCACATCCAAGGCGTAGAACACATCAAAACCTTTTTGTTTAGAGACGATTAGGGCGTCATTCATCAGCTGGGGCAACGAGGTCTTTGTCGCGACATTGTAGTAAGAATAAGCACACTCCACTGTCTTGTATTCCAGGTTTTTGTCGATAGATAAAGAGACAGAGTAGAAGCTGCAGAAGTCAGTGACGTCATGAGTTTCAGGACATTCTACTACGTAACTGTGGACGACGTCTTTTCTTGGGAGAAGCCAGTGCTTGACATCGTTTTCATCAAAGTCAGTTGCAACTCCAAACTGCCTAAGGTAGTTCCTGAGCAACCCTGTAACAGCAGGGACATCACGTAGTTCCATTCCCCTGAATCCAGGAGTGATCGGTGCATCTGGTAACTTGTAAAGTTTGATGGTCATCCTTGTTTTCACTTTGTCATGACCACCAGATGTAAACTCAACATCCATTAGCTTCTTCGGGTTTAACATTCTTAGCCAGTATTCGCAATGGCAGACGATACTAGACGCTGGTTTAGCACGAATATCAGGTAAGCTATAAGCCGCTTGCCATATATCCTGCAAGTGAACCCTTCTAGTCACCTCCTTGATCATGACAGAAGCAAGTTTCTTTGACCTGAGCTTTTTGTGAACACACAAGGTATTTATCTTGGCAAACTTGACAACCTCATCATGCACCCTAATTCTTTCTGGCACGCCACTGATGAAAGCAACGAGTTTCTTCGAGGTCGTTACCCGGACTCCAATATGCCAGCTCTGGTAGTAACCAGGTGGACACAATGCCCACCTTAGAAGCTCCATGGAATAAGTTTCCTGGAACAACTGGCCGGTACCAAAGTGTAGCTTGAGAAAGTTGTACAATTCTGTACACATATCATCAGACTTCAAATCACATGTGGTCCATTCATACTGAGAAGGAAGGTTGTATGGCTCTTGCTTGACCTCAGATAACAGAGTTGCGGGCTCAACTGGACCTTCAGGAAAACTCGTGTCTCCGTGTTGACTCGTCAAGAACTTTGAACACGGTAAACTTGCAACAGAAGCTAATGGGTTAGCTTCAACGATTTGATCTGATTTCTCTTCTTTAGAGCCAGGCTGAGATATCGACATGTTATCAGACTGGATTTGTGACTTCTTTCCGCCCTCAGCTCTTTCATGGGCACTGGGATCAGATGGTTCCATCTCCTTCAAATCGATTTGGCGTAGGTTTAGGGTTTCTCAGGGTTTTCGTTTTATACATAAATATAAGCCCTAAATATAAAGGCAGCACTTTATTACTCTATTTAGTGATTCCTCTTCTTAGTCATTAAACCACTTTTTATATTTAATTTAATTACAAATTAATCTAAGAAATCTCTAAGATCTCTCCATTAAAGATGGCTTTAACCATTATTTTTAGCTTCATTTTTCTTTTTAAAGAGGCATTTCTTTTGGACCCAGAAGGAAGAGTATGAAATATTATTGGGCTTTGAAATAATGGGCCTGACATCCAAAACGTGAGGGGCTTATTAATGTAAAATATGAAAGTTGAGTTGGGGCGTTTTGTAATTCCCTAAACTTTGATTCATTTTGTCTGGATAAGAAAGACAGGGGGCAGAGAGACAGACTAAGGGAAGAAGAACGAAAGTTGGAATATGGAAAAGCGTAGACTTTCTCTATTCAAATCAAAGAGCAGACATTCTTCTACTTGGGTCTGCTCTGAATAATTGATTTGCGTCTCATTGAGCTTAGATTTCAAGTTGGGATGTGGATAGAAATCCAGAAGTGGCAGCTCATATGGAGGTGGATGTTGGAACTATGTTTTACATAAGCTAATTGGGCTTAGTAAAACTAATTAGTGTGAATGTGAAATGGGCTTAAGAAAGGCCTATCTCATGTTGGAGCTCCAAGAGGAGTAGGGTCAAGTTGAAGTAGAAACAAGAACGACTTCTGTTTTGCACTTCCGTGAGAATAGGTATCCATTGTTTTATGAATCCCTGAGAATCAGTAACATGGAAACTCATCACGTTGCCCACCTCTCCTAGATTTGCGTTGGGTGTGGTTGATTGATTTCAAAATCAAACTTATCCTAAACCTCTATATAAACACACAAGTTCAAGTCTTTGAAAAGAGGAATCGACAAGTAACGCTTGGTCGAGTAGAGACTTAGAACACACAAATTCCAGCAATCTCTCTCTATCACAAAGTAAGTGTCTTCGAGAGTATCGTAGTGTTTTAGTTCGATAGGGCTGTTATTCGAGTGTAGCGAAAACAGTTATAGAGAAGTTGTATCCTGGGATCCTTGAATCACATAACACCGTCACACTACGGGTGATTCGAAGGGTTAAGGAAAGAGGATATGTACTCGACTCTTCTCATCTCTCTTCCTTAACGTTTATGGGTTTTCTTGTATTTCAATTGTTTTCCGTAGTGTTGAAAATATTGCTCCTACAGTCTTAACCCTTCGAATCCGTTGGTGTTCTATAAACATCTAACGGATTGAAATCAAGATTTCATAAACGTTAAAAGATTTTGTGCAATCACAAGTCTCTAGTTTTGTTTACCAATCACAAGTCCTCCTCTAATTAGCTTCTCACCTATCCAAGAATCTTGAACAATGCTGAGAATTAAAGGAAGCTGAAAAGGAGGATAATCTGTAAAAAGATGGGATTTATAGGTAAACCATTTGTTATAATAACTCTGCTTACATATACGAAATGCTTCCCAAAGATTAATGACTGTTACCAAAGAAGCTAATTTTTCTAGGGATTAGTCTGTATATGTGGAGTTTCTTCTTGAGTTTCATCCTTTGATGGTTGATTGGTTCTCTTTCTTTATTTTTCCTTTTTCTTTTGGCTGAGGCTTCAACGAAGAATAAAAGTAAAAAACACTTGAGATTGAAGTCACTGTTGTTATTTGTGTACTAGTAGTATCTTTTAGTGTTTGCATTGATGATCAAACCTACACAAATATTGATGATTGTTAGTAGGAGGCAGAAGAATTCAACTCAACAAGGAGGAGCTCCTGTTTCTGAGCTCTTCCTTTTTGGAGAAATTCCTGAAGGTGAACTCCAACAGTAACAGTATTACGATGAGTGAGTTTCACATACCTTTGTTTAATTATGCCAAAAAGCGATATAAACGGAAAGTCTGCAATATCTTGATATTAAAATCAGACAGTAAATTTTGTTTGTCTTGGCTAGATTCTATGTAGCTGAGTCTGTTTTTTCTCGGATGCAAAAGCCGAAATATAACTCTCACCAGCAGAAGTTCATCACCAAGTTAGGAAAGTAAATGTTTATGATCGATATATGTAGTTGCAAGAACTGTGATTTTTCAACCGAAAAGTAAGGAATATATATATTCAGAATTCTGATTTTTTCAATTTTCTCTATCTTCTTCTACATGGTTGCAAGAACCTCGTTATAAACCAACCTAACTCTACAATTCAGGAATACAAGCATTGGAGATTCAGAACCATTGGGCAAACTCGGTATCTGTTTAACAAAAGGTTCATGGCGCTATGGGATCAAAACAAAAGATGGACAAGGCGAAGCATACCTTGCTCCCATAGTCTTCTGTTTCAGTAGATTATTCTTCCTTAGGTAATCTTTTTTTAATTCATAAATCTTTATCAATAAAATTAACTTTTGTGGCAATGCAAGACTACTGAAATCAAATTGTTTGGAATATGGGAATAATATAAAGCAGTAGAATTTTTCAGGAATTGAAGCTCTTTCCAAATTATCTGCACACTTGTTGCTCTCATGATGCCTTCAAAACCTTATTTGTAAGAAAATTTATTAAATTACATAATTACAATCAACGAATGACAAGAAGATAGGATTTTTTTTTTCAAAAAACAGAACAAAAATAACCCCAAGTAGGAGAGAGGTCGGTGGAGACTGGAGAGAATAACAGTAAGTATAATCCAGTTCCTTCATGTATTTTAATTTTATGTCGTCTCCTTCATGTATAGAATGATCTTTTGGATACCTCTTAAAATTATGTTTATGAAAAGAAAAAAAAAACTAACAAACTGTTTTTACATCATTAATGGTGGTTGATATACACGAACAATTTCTTTACTGCAAGATAAAATTTATAGATTAAAAAAAAAGAAGAATTATGTTGTTTCTACTTTCTAGAGTTGTAAATTGAAGGGAATACATATAGTTTCCACATAATAATTTATAATCACATATTATGGGTTTGTTTGCAATGGATGGTTTTGAGAAGGGAAACTATGGCGCCAAATGTTTTAGTAGGCAGATGGTGACACGTGTACTCGTCTCAATCTGACGGTTAGTTTTGGAGAAACCTCAGGGTCAAAATCGTCTTAAACATTTCTGCGTCATCATCTTCACTACTCCCCCTCTCTGTTTCTTCAGAACTTTCGAATTTGTGTTCTCTCTCAGTTTTCTCCGGTCGTAGCTCAACTATTTTCCGGCGATATACTTCCGATTCCTGCTTTCTCACTTCAACCCGGAGCTTTTCGTAAGTAATTTTTCGCTGTTGATACTATCCGCTTGGATTTCTTGGCTTTTCTTTCTGTTCATGCCTTTGTATCAGACTCCGTGACTAATTGCTTCCCATCTTTTCATTCCTTTGTATCAGACACTATTTTCCGGCGATCTTCTTCCGACTCCGGAATTTTGGTAAGCAATTTGTGACTGACGATTTCTTGGGTTTTTTGTTTTCGTTTTTCGATTCATGGCTTTGCATCGGATAATTCATAGCGATCTTTGTCCCATTTCCGTTTATATGGAGGTATCTACCTCGATCTGTAGATCCGATACTCGATTCTTTTGCAAAATCGGAAAGCATTTGTGTGTTGTAGTTGCTGGAGATTTTGCGATCGCTAGGGTTACTAATCTTGTGCTTCATACTGCAGCTTTTCTTATGCGTTTTCAGTTTTGATTCATGGCTATTGCTAGACTGCGTTTTTTGCTTGCTAATACGCTATGTACTCATGATTGAGTAATCAACTTTTTTTGTGGCAGACGAAACATCACAATGTCAGATCCAAAACCGAATCTTGTGGAGGGCACACTAGATGCTGATGCCAAGAACTCACAAATTCAATTAGCCATGGACGATGTTATATGTGAAACCATGTATCGAAGGGTACTACAGCAGTATTCAGAGAGCCATAAGTTCTGGAAGACTCAACCTGTTGGGCACTTTAAGGATATCCAAGACACCAGTTTGCCAGAAGGGCCAATTGAATCCGCAAATTTGGTATCTGAGGTCAAGCAAGAGCCTTACAACCTTCTTACACAATTTGAATGGACCATATTGGATATGAACTCTGATGAGATGTGTTCAGAGGTATACAACTTTCTCAAGCAAAACTATCCTGATGACAGTTTACCATTCAAGGCTAATTACTCCAGAGAGTTTCTAAGGTGGTCATTGTGTTCACCTGGTTATTACCAGAGCTGGCATATTGGAGTCCGTGTCAAGACCTCCAAGAAACTTGTTGCTTTCATCGGTGGCGTGCCAGTAAAACTCAGGGTGCGTGATGAGGTTGTTAAAATGGCAAAGATCAGTTTCTTGTGTGTTCACAAGAAGCTCAGGTCTAAGGAACTTGCTCCTGTCATGATCAAGGAGGTGACTAGAAGGGTTCACTTGCAGAATATATGGCAAGCCGCTTATGCCTCATGTCATATACTTTCTAGACCAGTTGCCACCTGCCGATACTGGGGCAGAATATTGAACCTGAAGAAGCTCATCGATGTTGGGATAACAGAGCTTAGTTGCAGAATGACTATGAGCATGACACTCAAATTTTACAAGTTACCAGATGCACCAATCACTCCTGGATTTAGGGAAATGGAACGTCGTGATGTCCCAGCTGTTACAGAGTTGCTCAGGAACTACCTTTGCCAGTTTCGAGTTGCGGCTGACTTTGATGAAAATGATGTCAAGCACTGGCTTCTCCCACGTGAAAATGTCGTCTACAGTTACTTAGTAGTAAGCCCTGAAACTCATAACGTCACTGACTTCTGCAGCTTCTACAGTGTCCCTGCAACTATAACCGGTAACCAGAAATACACAACAATGGAATGTGCTTATTCTTACTACAATGTCGCGACAGTAACCTCTTTTCCCCAGCTGATGAAAGATGTGCTTATCGTCTCTAAGCAAAAAGGTTTCGATGTGCTATATGCGTCGGATTGTATGCACAATGAGAGTTTCTTCAAAGAGTTGAGGTTTAAACCAGGAAGTGAACAGTTTCACTACTATCTCTATAATTACCGTTTGAGAAGTGCAATGAAGCCATCAGAACTTGGGCTTGTTCTCTAGTACTGCTAAAACTCCTACAGGCTACAGCTCCCGAATGTGAACAACCTATGATCAGTAAACCAATGTGCAGCCTACGGTTCCTCTTCATAGATATCATTTGCAAGTAATATAAACTGTGTTTGTTTTTTTTTTGTAGTTTCCTCTGAACTATCAGCACAAACAAAACTTTCCGAAGATAGTTTTGTTTTGGATCGTTAAGGTAGTGAAACAGATGCTTTTAATAAATAGCATTATTGGCACATCAATACAGTAAAGGTAAAAGGATATGAAAACCAAAATCCCAATATTTTTGAGAAATCACAAAAGCAAATCACGAAAGCAGTAGGAACCGATATACTGTAATTGTTTTTTTTTTTTTAATTTTCTTAAAGATCAGCAAAGACCGCGAATATGTTACCATTGATGTAATCGTTCTCTACCAAGCTTACCAAATAGTAGCTGTTCTTCACCTGCATTTTGGATAAAAATGTCCATTAGTCAAGAGCAATAATTAATCCGATCGGATCCAGAAAAATATATTAACTTACCTCCTCGAGCAAGTTTCTGGAAGGGTCGGCTTCCGGGTACAAGTTAGCCCAGCTTCTTGACCAAGTCTCAAATGCTTCATCCTTCCAGACTTTGAAGCTAGCGGGATCAACAATGGTTGGTTGTATGATTTCCTTAGCTGGGAAAACTCCCCAAGTAACAGCATTCACATCAGACTGGGCGGTGTTAGAGATCCAGTTTTCTCCTTTGTTCACAGCCATGTAAGTAATTGATGGCAAAGCTTTGCATTTCTCCACCACTGCATCTAGTTTCTCCTTTGAGCAGAAGAACTCTAGATAAGCTTTTTGGTATACATATCCTACAGGACCTCCCCATCCTGCAAATCATATACAAGCAGAAGTATCAATGAAGATGGGATCAAAACTCTGAAACAGTATTTGCTATGAGAACATAGATTTAACAGGACTGATTCCTCACCAACAGTTGGGGAATCAGATCTCTCCGCATTGACTGATGGTTGGCTATTGATGGTCAAGAAACCTTTGGAGTTGATTTTTACCAGTTGCTCGTTTATTATCTTTGTCTCTGGCTGGAGTCCATCTAATTCAGACCAGGGACTGGTTTTTAGGTTTCCAAGGCAGAGCTCCTTGAATTTCTGTTATGTGGCAATTTTTTTCCAAGATTATTGTAAGTGTCTGCCTTTTTTTACAGGTGAAATGAGGGAACAGATGTTTATGTGCGCAAGTGAAAGAAATGTTCTACCTCCTGAATATCTTTAACACTTTTCAGTGGGACAACCCATTCTTGTTGAAGCTTCTTGTCACGTGCTCGTGGACGTGAGAACTGAAAACAAAAGCATTTAGTTCAGCAGAGAATCTCACAAGAAGATGCTACATTCAACAATCTAGAGCAAACCAATAAGACCAATCAATGAAATCCCTTCGAGGGTTTTGCAATTAAAGATGATTTAGTACCTGATGATCCGAGAGTGCACCATATGAAGCACTGCGTGAGTCACCCCAACGGCCTTGTGGGAAGTCTTCCCATCCCTTGGTTCTGGAAATGTAGCTCTTTGGACGGTTTGCCCTTCAAAAGATAAGAAGAAAGCCTAAGTCGTGTATTCTCTGGGAATACAAATCTGTGGGATGCATAATCAGAACAACAATAACTAAGTGTGGTTACCAGAAAATTGGGCGCACATCTTCTTTTGTACGGAAAATATTTGCAGGGCGTCTCCAGGGAAGAGAGCGAGAAATTTTGGACTCATCAATCATACCAAGGTTCTGCAACACCACCACAAAAGTTAGGAGACTCCAGTATCTATATGATGCTGCTTAAAGTAGTAGAAAATGAAGACCAACCATCAATATTGCCAGAGCAGATTTCTCCATGTTCAGTGTGTAGAGATGAAGAGACTTGATTCCATGAGCCAAAATAGTTTTACACATCTCTGTTCCAAGGTGAATACCGTAGGCTTTCACAGCTTCTTCATTATCCTTGATAGGCTCCAAGGCAGCCATGACCTCAACTGGTATCTATAATATGGAACGGAACATTAATATGCAACTGTCACCATCAACAAAATCATATGTTAACTCAAACAAACGCTGTTCTCTGAAACTAAGAATCCTTAAATACAGTTCGTTTAAATCCACATATCTGAAGCTTGCAAACAAACAACTTTGTGAAAACACAACAGCAGTATCATCTCCTTGAAGGTTTGTTTATGCTAAGAGATTAAAATTTCACCTTAGTCTTGCAGAAACCAGTCATACGCAAGAAGCCTTTGTAGTTATTAATAGGCATAATTCCAGGAACAATGGGACAATTTATCCCAATTTGCCGACAATCATTCACAAATCTGAGGAATACATCAGTATCATAGAAAAGCTGAGTAACAATCAGATCTGCTCCAGCATCAACCTGTTCCAAAAAGAACCCAAATTCAAACACACAACAATAACCAAAAAAAAAAAAAAAAAACTGATGAAACATTAAACAAACAGAAAAAGAAACCTTTTTCTTGAGATACTCAAGATCACTCTGATAAGCTTCATTAGACGCAAGACCATTCTCACCAATAACATCAGGATGAGCCTCTGAAATTTTCCAAAAAAAGAAACTAATTTCTAAGCTACAAGAATCAAAATTACACGACCAAACGTAGAAGAGACAAATCGAAATTTAGACAGAGACAATACCAGGATAGCCAGCAACAGTGATACCAAAGTAATCACCATACTTGCTCCGAATATGATTGACGAGATCCAATGCACAACCGAATCCACCTTCGACCTGAACAAATTTATCTTGACCATGAGGCGGATCACCTCGAAGGGCAAGCACATTCTGAATCCCATTAGATCTAATCGTCTCAAGGGCATGATCAATCTTCTCAACAGGCATGTTAGTACATGTAAGATGCATCATACTCTCAACGCAGACAACGTTCTGCATCCTCGAAGCGATGTCGAGCGTTAGATCTGCGGTGGATCCACCAGCTCCCCAAGTGATATCGCAGAACGTTGGACCATAAGCGACCATTCGATCCATCCGCTCGAAGAGATTGTCGACTCCATCTTCTGTCTTTGGTGGGAAGAATTCGAAGGAGAAAGCTGTTTTGCCTTCATCGGCTAGTGACTGGATCTTGTCTATCACCTTCATCTTCCGAAATGGAACAGAGTGTGAGATTAAAAGAGGAGTTGTTGTGTGTGTTCAGGCTCACCTCTTCTACTCACTTAACTGCTTTATACTATAACTCAGAAAGAGAGAGATCCCAAAGAGTTTGGTGGGTTTTTTTAGACTTTTACCTTACCCGTCCACTTCCTTCAATTTATGAGTTACATAATTATTTAAACTAAAATGTGATTAGTGAAAAGATTTACCAACCCACGAGTAGAACTTGTCGTTATCATTCCCCAACCCTTGCAGTGATATCTATGCTTTTTGAGTTGGTGAACCAAAACCATACACCCACATCACTCACCTACCACCAAATCTCTATGATCCCATCACTTGTTTCACGCTCTTACATTGAAAGATTTATCCCTTTATCATTTACAGTATACCATCATTAATCTTTGCAAACTTTGAAAATGTAACTTTTTTTTCAATTATTTTATGTAAAAACGCAAACTCATTTTACATTTGAATCGGTTGCAATCTATCTAAATCGCCAAAACGAAACTTGACAGATTTTGGGAGCACTGGCTTCTGTCGGCGACACCGACACAAGATGCACGAACATTGTCAGCACGTGCCAACATAACAAACCGGTCTTTGGATACAAACTTCAAAAAAAACTTAAACCGAATTAGAGATTACCGGTTCTTACAAAACCCTACTACTGGAACGAGATATCTTCTTCATACAACAATACAAAGTCAAATTATACACCACGAAGTTCTGGCAAGATGCAAGACATCATCATTTGAGATGCTCATGAGAAAAATGAATGAGATGAAAGTACAAATGTGGTTACAAGTTGATATATTTTGCAAACATTATATTATGGTACAACTTATATCAAGTTAGATGTAACAACAATGTCACTGCGCCAAGATAGATTATTTTAGTTTCTCAACTCTGCAGAAACATAACAGCAAGGGTTATTTAGAAATCTATGCTTCTGATAGCTCTAATGTTTATAAAGTGAAACCAGATAGATTTTAAATCACCTCAATACAATATCAGACAGTTACAATCTCCCAGTCTTCCCTCGACATATCGATAAACTCGGTGACACCATCCTCGAACATAACCTGAAGGATGTTAGTTAACAGAGGTCTAAACTGAGAATGATTTTGCCAAATTTCGAAGGTGAACAAGATTCAGCTTATTGTAATACCGAGTGCTTTCTGGAATGCTCATCAAAATGTCTAACAAGGCCAAAACACCTGAAACTCTCAACAAAAATTAACACATTGAAGAAGAGTAAAGAATAAGCCTTAATACTAATCTACAAGTTCAAAAGTAAATAAATACCTATCACTCGTAGCGCGAGATAACCTAATCACTGCACCAATGCAATTACGAGAACATATTTTCCCTTGACTAAGATTTTTCCATGATTTTCCTGGAAAAAAGGTAGTCCAGAATTACTTATCTTACACAATTAAAAGGCAATGAACTCCACTCGCAAATACAGCTGAGAAAACTCCATACTTACCTGCATGTATATGCCCATTTTGATGCACCTACCCAAAAATTGGACAAAAGTAAGTCTAGAGACCTCATTAACACACAGTATCTCACAGACTACGAAACTATGCAATGGCAAAGACAAGATCTATATTTGAATCTTTTTTCAGATAAATTTCAACAAACCTTGGGCTGAGTCTGGGCCACTTCATTTGCAATTAGATTCAAAGCTTCATCCGAGGCTACCTTAGGTTTGCTAGGTTTTACCCCAAGCTTTCTTCTGCAACCTACGGCTCCACAATGGCAGTCTTGATCAGCACCAAACTGAACAAACCTGCACTATTTCTTAGTGTTACAACTCAACAGATAAGAGAAAGCATAAGCTATTAAACCTGGGTACTAACTTAAAACCAGATATATGTTATAAAGCAAACTTGAGTGGGAGGAAGATATCTCACTGATAATCATAGGTCAAATGTTCTCCCTTTTTGATGCCACGCGTGGCAAAAATGCCGATTCTTGTCTCGCCATCAATTATCCTAATTGCAAGCAAAAGACAACCATATGAAAACTTTTCTCTCTACTATACTGAACTAGAATACAAGCACCAAGGAATGAGAATTAAGAACAACAAACCATTTCTGCATCTGCGTATTAGGGTTGCAACTATGATTGATATATCTCGATTTATTTCCCTTGTGAGTAGCATCAATCACCATATCTCTGTTTATCTCACATAAATAAAAGTTTGTCTCGCCACGGTGTTTCATCTTCCAAAGCCTTTCTTCACAAGTCTTATCATCTATAACTACATTGACCAAAGATTTGGGACAAATAAACAAACAAGTTTAACAACAATCCTAATAATATTCCAGAGCTGAGACAAAACATCAAATAGTCAAATTACCTTCTCCAACATATTCAATGATAAACTCTCCTGGTTTGATTTCTTCTTCGGCTACAATCCCTGATCCACATTTTTCTGTCTACAAGACACAACTCATATAACAAACCAACTAACACCACGAAAAAAAAAACCACTAAATCCGAGCAAAACCATTCACACATTACCTGAATTAACTTCAACTTTTTGACATGGCGTTGTTGGAACGGCTTATTGTTACACTCACTCCCACACTTGCAGCTTGAAGAACAGGTTGAGAATAGCATCCTAACACAAAGATAAATAAGAAATTCCAGTTCAATGTACTTACACAAGCAGAAAACTGTGGTCTTATTCCTAAATCCATGAGATGCTGAACCGATAGATGAAGAAACGTAAAAAATTGAAAATTGAGGCATACCCACAATGGCAATTACTGCCACACACAGTTGAAGAAGAGCCAGGGGACGCAGAGGAGCAAGAACAGAAGATTCCATCATCTTCAACCCTCTTTTTGACTTTCTTCGTCAAGTAAATACCTTTAACTAGCTAAGGCAGAAAAACAAACCAGATAAAGTGAAATCCGAATTTTTTTAAAGAACTGTAATAAGGATACTGCGCCTGATGAAGATGTAAGGAGTAGGTTTCCCTTTGTTCAACCAATCTGGCAACTCAAATTCTTCAGATTCTCCAATCTGATTCAATAGCTTGTTGAACACTTGCCCTAAGTGGTTCCTGTCGGAAATCTGAGAAAAGATAACTTGGAAATTTCAGACATTATGAAGAAGTAAAATTTTATCGAAACGGAGAGATAGTTATCGAAACAGACCTTTTTGGTGGTGGGCATAGCCACCGCTTCGATGGGGAAAAAAAAGACTAAAGCTCTAAATCAAAGAAGACTAAAGCTCCAAACAAAGGTTTGAACTTATGACCTATTGAAGGAAGAAGAAGAAAATGTAACAATGGCGGATCTGAGACAGTAAGAAAACCGAGATTGAAGAAAGAGCGGCAGTTGCTTTTTTTTTAATATTTTTATCTTCTCTTTGATGATAATTACTACGCCTCAAAAATGTCTAAAGGGTAAAATCGTAGTTTAAAGCACGAGACGATATCTAGGCCTGCTTCTTAATGGGCTTTTTGTATCAGAACCAAATATATGAACTAGCCCAAACTAATATTAAAAAGGTAATATTATTGTTGCTTTATATCGGGTGTATCTCATACTAGCCTTAGTCGTAATCACATTTATGGTTAAGGACATTGTAATTTTGAACTGTGTGATCCTAAAGAACATGAATAAATATTATCAGTTCTTATGTGATCTGTAATAAAGTAATATTATGAGCAAAACTATATATTATAATTATTCGAACGTTTTATCATAAAGTAAAATAGTAAATCAGGGAGTCTAATTTATTTTCCACGTGTAGACAAGTAGTAATCATAAGCATGATTAATGTGAAATTAATAATTACTCTCATATAGATTGATGTCATTAAAGCAATCAACATCGGAGGATCGATTATTTGAAGAAGAAGGTCTAGAGAGAGAGAGAGAGAGAGAGAGAGATTCGCCATTGAGATTGTGTCCCAAAAGCTCCAAAAGAAACACACGTTGCTGTTGTAAGGTATCTTCGACGGGACGTTGAAGCGAGCAACATACAACACGAAATCCATCTTCTTTCTTCTTCGTCTTCTTCCCCTTGCGTTTACAATCTCCGTCGTCTGGTGAACTATTTGATCGATATCTCTCTCAGGTGATCTTTCTAAATTGGATGAGTTTATTTAATTGGGGTTTAGACGAGCTTGAGTTTATTGTGTTTGATTAATTGATCATTTTCGATTACTGTTGCTCTGTGAGTTGGAATGAAAAGGTCTTCAAGCTTTTGAAAACTCTGTAAATTTTTGTGATTTTGCTGTCAATTTCTTCAATTAGGAAGATATGCATGTCGATTCCGAATTCCTTCGATGACTTCATCTTATAAAACTTGTTTTGTTTAGAGAGTATGTAAAACCTGCTGAGTTTTTGTTGGTATGTAATTATGGATCGTTTGAAGCTTATAACACGAGGGTTGTTGTCTTACAGTGCGGTGTGCTACGCTGATCTGGAGTGTTGTCTCTAGTTTTGATTAACCGACCCTTTTGTAATTGAGAGTTGTTTTATTGAACTTGTATGAACCTTAAAGTCACACTCACCCAATTTTGTCCTAGTGCTTGCTGTTGATTGTAGAGTTTTCTTTAGTTAATCTTGGTTTGTTCTAACTTCAAAGTATGTTCTATGCTAATTTGGTGTCTGTTATGCTTATAATTTCAGATAAGGTTCTCAGGGTTTAGGTTGCTTCTATGAGACGGGCACGTTGCAATTGGTGCTTCATATCTAGGTAATGAAGGCTTTATGTGATAGATTTGTTCCTCAACAATGTTCTTCATCAAGCAAGAGTGATACGCATGATAAGTCCCCTCTAGTTTCTGATTCAGGACCTAGTGATATTAAGTCCAAGTTTACCTTATGGTCAAACGTCTTTACGCCTTCTTCCTCAGTTTCTCAACCGTATAGGGATCCGTCAGCTTCTGGGCATAAGCAAGTTTGCCCCACTCGTAATGGTTGGACAGCATTTGTAAAAAGAGCGTGTATGGCAAGTGGCGCAATCAGGAGATTCCAGGAGCGCGTTTTAGGTCCAAATAGAACTGGTCTTCCGAGCACAACAAGTGACATATGGCTCTTGGGTGTCTGTTATAAGATATCCGAAGATGAGGCCTCAGGGGATACTGATGCTGGCAGTGTATTGGCTGCATTTCAACGAGATTTTTCATCCAAAATACTGATGACATATCGTAAAGGTTTGTTAACTCAGCTACAAATTCAAGCCAAAATTAAGTTTTTGATCACCATTTATTTTACAGGTTTTCAACCCTTCAGAGACACAACATATACCAGCGATGTGAACTGGGGTTGCATGATCCGGAGTAGCCAAATGCTTTTTGCTCAGGTGTGAGGAAGAGTATTTCTTTTGGCATGAAACAGTGAAGTTTATAACATATTTTGACTAGCCAAATATTTGCAGGCATTGCTATTCCATAAGCTGGGGAGGTCTTGGACCAAGAAATCTGAGGTAAGTTCAATGTAACATCTAGTTTATGTTATAATATACTGAATATGCAACACTGTGAACTAAAACCTTGCTGATCAAATTGATTCTAGTCTATTCTTACTTCAAGAAAGTGGAAACCTTAGGCTTATTTGATTTGAAAATGCAGCTGTCTGAACAAGAATACTTAGAGACATTGGAACCTTTTGGTGATGCCGAGACTTCAGCATTCTCCATCCACAATCTTATAATAGCTGGAGAGTCATATGGTCTCGCTGCTGGGTCATGGATTGGACCATATGCCATTTGTCGATCGTGGGAATCATTAGTGTGCAAAAGGAGAAAACAGACTGATTCTAAAACCGAGACGCTTCCTATGGCTGTTCATATCGTTTCTGGTAGTGAAGATGGAGAGAGAGGTGGGGCTCCAATTCTCTGTATAGAAGATGCCATCAAATCTTGTCGAGAATTCTCGAAAGGACAGTCTGAGTGGACACCAATTCTTCTTTTGGTCCCACTGGTTCTTGGGCTAGACAAAGTGAATCCCAGGTTGCAGTTGTGAAGTTGATAGTTGTCTTTTCTGGTCTGTTCTTGTATTTGTATTTGGTCTTTGTGACACATTGCTCAAATCTGGTGTCAGGTACATTCCATCTCTCATTGCCACATTCACTTTCCCTCAGAGCGTAGGCATTTTGGGTGGCAAACCAGGTGCCTCAACTTACATAATTGGCGTTCAAGAAGACAAAGGTTTCTATCTTGATCCGCACGAAGTTCAACAGGTATAGTTAATTATGTGCCTACATCGGATTAGTTGCCATAGATCTATCTTCTCTGATAGGAGGATCTGTTATTAATCACCATGGAATTTCAAATTATGGTTTCACTTATTGCTGCTTATGTTTATTGATTAATTTAGGTGGTCACAGTCAACAAAGAAACGCCAGATGTTGACACATCCTCCTATCATTGCAAGTGAGTTTAATCTAATCATCATATTTCAATCGATCTCTGCCTGGTCCAGTTTTATCTTGTTTCCTAATATTATCTTGAATCTGCATTCAGAGTTCTTCGTTATGTTCCTTTGGAATCACTAGACCCATCTCTAGCTCTCGGATTCTATTGCCGCGACAAAGGTACTGTATTGTTACCAAATTCTCCAAAAACCCAAAGGTTAATAAAACCTGTAGTATCCTAAAACTTGATAAAAACTTCCTAATCATCAACAGATGATTTCGACGACTTCTGTCTCCGAGCAGCGAAACTAGCGGAGGAATCAAAGGGTGCTCCATTGTTCACCTTGACTCAAACCCACAGTGCGATAAACCAAAACAGTTACGGGTTTTCAGAGGACAACATCGAGGAAGAACGTGAAGATGACTGGCAATTGCTCTGATCATCATCATCAAACAGTACACTTTAACAAATCTCTGAAGCGACAATTGTTTTACCTTTTCTTAACCAGTTCGTTGTTTTTTCAAGTGTTGGTGTAAATCACATTAGAATCAAAACAAGTGTTGTACTATAAGATCTTTGGGATTTTTCAAACATAGATTGAAGCATGTGAAAATGGAAGAGTAGAGAAATCTAAAGGTATATGTACATCATTCCATTTTCCTATCTTCTTCCCCATCGTCATCTTCATCATCACTCCTTCTTCACCTTCACTCTCTCTTCCTCGGGCGAAATCTGAACTTACCGTCTTCATTGGAAGCTGTATAGTTTCAAGATCCAGTGTCCAATTTCTCAAATCATCCTCGGTTTCCATTTGTAACTCAGTGTCAGTGAAGCACCATAGCCTAGAGGAGCTTCTAAAGTCTCCTGCGGTGCGACCTCTCGGGCTAGTATCCGGAAATCGCCAAATGTTTTCGATTTTGGACCACGAAGTTGTAGCTGGATCGTAAATCTCTCCGTCGGATCTGAATCTTCCTTGAGATTCCGTTCCGTATCCGCTCAATACGCAAAACCTTTGATCTGTTCCAATGGCGAATCCTTGGCATTCGTCTCTTCCTTCCGTCATCGGAGGAATCGTAGACCACTCGTCTTTCTCAACGTCGTACACCTCCGCCGAGCGTAAAGCGTTTTTCTGATCGTCGTGGCCTCCGGCGACGAATACTTTCATCGATCCGACGGAAGCGCAGGCGAAGAACGACCGGGATTCCTTCATCGGCGCACCTCGTCTCCACTTCCTTCCGGAGAATTCGAGAACGTAAACGTCTCTCGTCGGCTGTAACGTCTCCGGATCCCAACCGCCGATGAGTAGAATCTTTCCGGCGTCCTTAAGCACGACGCACTCGCAGAAAAGCGGGATCTGCTCACCTTCGGGAAACGCGACGCGGTGCCACGTGGACATCGCAACGTTGTAAACGCTCAACCCAAACCGCGGCGTACAGAAAACGCGCGGTTGTGACACACCGTCTGATTTATTCTCGTCAGCCACCATTAATGTCTCCACAACCGGTTTAGACGCAGGAATAGGCGGTGAGAGCGGTTGAACGAGGCAGAGAAGAAGCTCTGCTTTGCCGCATCTCCGCCGCTCTTGGATGAAGGAAGAGTCGGAGCAGGAGATGAACGTTCGCCAAGAACGGCAAACGGATTTCATGGCGGGTTGAAATTGGTAGGGAACTCTGATCAAACACTCAATAGCCAATTCGGAAGGTAAACCGGGAATCAAATCATGACATGTCTGGAAATCTCCAGCTTTCTTTTTTGACACTTGCATACTCATCATCGAGCTCGAAAAGAACAAAAAGGAACTTGTTTTATGAAGAGACAAAGAAGAAGAACTGAGCTAAGCTTAAAGAAGAAAAGACACAAAACAACAAAAAAAAACTGAAGAAAATAGCGATTTGCCTTTGAGTGAGAGTGAAGTTTACACGGAGGTGGCAGAGCCTTTAAATAGGGAAGAGGAAGATAATTTTAATTACAGTTGAACTGACACGACGCTTCGTTTAAAATTGTTAATTGAACATTTTTAGCAAGATTTGAAGATTCGTGTATGTCTCAAAACGCAAACGCACCTACAAATTTATTTCTTAAACAAGCAGAGCTGCTTCTTTCTCGGGGAAAAAAAATCACGTGTAGTAATAAAATCAAATGGATTAATTTATATTTCACCAAATAGGCAACACACAGTTTGGTTAATTTTGATGCGATTCCATATATTGTAACAAGTGGGAAACTAACGTACAGCATCAGGTTAAGTTCATTTACGGTGGTGCTCTTTCTTTTGTCACAGCAAACTTTTTTTTTTTTTTTTTTTTTTTTTTTTAGCAAACTTTTTATAAAAAGCAGAATGCTTCTAGAAGCTTTTTTATAAAGACAACCAAAAATAAAATAAAAAGTGAGTATCAACAGTAACAGTGTAGCAACTCCATCACTCTCATGCACACTCCAAACAAATCTTGGATATCAAAAGTAATTTATGTTCTTTTGTATTATTTGTAAGAAATATATAATAGGTCGGCGTTAAGTGAAAAAAGAGACATATAGTGATATAGAGGTTAAGTGAAGTTAGGTGAGTTTATTGAATAATTTAAACTGCGCCCGCACTATGATTAGTATAAAAATTTGGTTTGAACTAATAGTTTATATTTTTAATTAGTAGCTTATCAACTAAATTACTATATAACCTTTATGTTTGACGCGATCCCCTTTGAAACCGAATCTAATGAATGATAAAGTTGATGAAGTAGACTAGTTGAGCCTTTTTACCATTTTTTTTTCCTCATAAAGAAACTGAGCAAAACCTTCTAGAAGCTCTAGACAAATAATACGTAGACAGCTAAAGTATAATAAGGAATGAGTCGTACTCACTGACGCAACCGTCAACCGATGTATATAACGACATACGTATCTCTAATGCAAGTTTTAATAATAATTTAAACCATGAATTAAACAAAAGAATGAAAAGTTAAAATAATTTGGAATTCAAAATGGAGATATTCATTTGAAAATGGCATTGTGCACGCACTATCAAACGAATTCTTTCACCAATAGGCAATAGTACGCATATATAGATTCTTTTTTTCTTTTTCTTGCCAAAACTATAGTACGTTGTGCGTAATTAATTGTAAAAATTAGTTTAAATACGTATATTAATCTGTAATACGTATTAGTTTAAAAGATACGTAGAACGTTTTTGCGAGGGGCAGTTAGCCAGTTACATAATATATTTGTTAATTAATATAGTTTCTACTTTATATATATAAAAAGCATTCTAGAAGCCCTCTCGTGGATAATATACATTGGCCTTATCGTTCGCTCTTTCTTACTCTCTTAATTAAGATCATTGCGAAAAATATCATTACTACGAAGCTGACTACGTAGATTTTGCGATGCACCGACGCAAAGGCATATTTATAGGTCTTGTGCGGACTTGCAACACTTTTGCTTTAATTTATGTACAAGTGTTTAATTGTTTTGTTTCATTAATTCTGTTAACCAAAATTCTAATTACCTAAGATTAATCATACGTATGCTACACACACACACACCACATACAGAGGGACTAAATTATAATTATACCAACAAAAGTCCAAAGAAAATAGTCACTATTGTAGAGTACTATGCATGCATATGCGAATCATAATTAGCTAGATATTTTTACTAGCTATGCATATTATTTTTTTATAAATGTGTGGTTTGTTTTTAAACATCAACATCATTCATCATTAACTTGCCTATTCCTCTGTAATGTACAGTTCGTCCCATAATATTAGTTGATTCCAAGAAAAAAAATTACAATTTTACAGTACATATATGACATTAATATATATATATATATATATGCAATTTTTTTTCGTTTGTATATCAAGCCAGTTCAAAATAATCATATACGTTATGTAGTTAATTTGTTGTACTAGCACGTCCGCCACGAATGATATCCAAAAACACAAATTCGAATATACCAATACACCGGACATGATACTAATTAATACTGTGTTTTGGTTTTTAATCTCGAAAATATTGTTATATATGAATCTAATTAATATTTGTTTAAGAATAGTTGTCCTTTTTTTTTTCTTTTATCGTGTACTATGATAATATAAAACATTTAAAAGTTTAATACACAATAGTTGGAAACTGCGATCAAGCATTCAAGTGGTCAGAAAAATGTTTCATGCATAGCGGTTTGGCATCCCATGATTCATTCAAGCAAGGGTTTTGTTATAACTATAAATCAGTTTAAACTGATAAAAACATGTTCCATTTGGATGTAAGCGATATGAACATAATAACCCAAAGAAAAATGAGAGTAGTGAGTGGATATGGATACGGAAAAACAAAAATAAAAAGCAAAATAATAATGTGGTCGTCGGACATTGATAGCGGGGGCTGGTCCATTACCCCATCTATCACATTGTCTTTTCTTGTTTTCTATCTACTAGCTTTAATTTGTAACTTTGATCTATTATTGTCGAGTGAACACAAAACAAATGGTTAATAGCGTGTAGTATTAACTTTGAATATTAGATCTGTTTTATTTCGCATATAACCCTAAAAGTTAACTAGGGAGACTTTTTTTTGTCTCGACAAAGACAAAACAACCAATGTCGTTAATTATGCTTTACTTTCCTTAAACGGATGATGGATATAGAGAAGAAGAGTTTGAAATCATCACGAAACTGAATAGGCTAGGTTTTGTTTCAACGATGGTTGATTGATTTACGACTACGATGAAGTGGACTTGTTTCTAATTATTCTGTAAAGTGAAACCAAAAACAAAATCTATAAAATACAATTTAATAACAATAGTCGTAAAATCAAAAAGAAGAAAAATAAGGGATAAGGGTTCTAGAAGAGCATTGATAATATTTTGCCCTTTTGGGAGGAGTTGTCATCTTTATTGGGGGGAGGAGGACGAGACGAGTGGGCCGAAACTGGCAAGCACTTATCGTCTCTACACCTCTCTCTCTCTCTCTCTCTCTCTCTCTTTGCCTTTTGTCTTCTTTACGGTTCCTAAAGTTTTTCTCTTTCTTTTCTTCTAGAAGACCATCTCATCATGTGTAGTGTAATTTCCCACTAAATAGCTACATTTGGGTTTATATAAGGGTTTGCATCTTCTAACTAAGAAAAAAACGAGTTGGCAAGTAGATGTATAATTCATTTCACATTAGCTTCCATGAACACCACAGTTGGGCTAAGGCTATTTTCTACCCCTAATTCAGCACAGTCAAAACCCGCAGCCCGGCTAGAATGATTTATATAAACAGGTACAAACCTGATTGCTCAGGGATGGGTGAACTATGATAGAAATTTAGACAAGTAAAGCTAAAAGCCATAGAGATAATCAAGAACAATTTGCTGAAAAGAACACAAGTAAAGAGCCAACAGATGGCAAACGAAAATGAATACTCAAAAGCCTATCTCAGATAAAATATCACTAGTCTCTGATAACTGGAACAAAACATAAAAAAACTCAGATCCCAAAAATCTATTGGAATAGATAAACGATAAAGGAGGAAGCTTTCATCAATCAATTCATTCTTCTGACAAGCTCGTTGATGAAGTTCTCTCTGTTTCCAGCATCACCACCTTCGACATAGTGGTTTCTCTTCTTCTTGAGGCCACCGAGTGGTGCCTTCAATTGGAATGGCCAGAGAAAGTTGTTGGCTTCCTTGAAGTGAGGTCCAACAGTCATGATCTCATGGATCAAATCCTCAACACAAATGATACCATGCTTTCCTAGAGCTTGATCAACAATCGAGTTGTCGGTAAGTGCTATCCTCTGGTGGTTCAGCTTTCCGTATCCCCTTTTGTAGATCAGTTCCTTAACACTCTTCAAGTTAGGGTATCTGCACCAGAGATATCATTCGGTTAGAGCAGCATCTTCTCATGGCACCCATTTAGATATATATAGAGAGAGAGTCAGATTAAATACCCGTATGTCACGTAAGGTTCAACTCTGCGCAACATGTTTACTGTTGCCTTGTTCACCTTAAGAAACACACCATTGAAGATCTGCACAAATGTATATCACATGTAAACTTCATGAAAAGGTAAGAGCCTTTCTATTCTCTTGTAAGAGATGATCATCCGGAAACTATAACATGCTAGTTACACATATGACAGATTAAACCTACTACACTAATAAATGTCATGAACATAGCAATCGGGGAAACCTACCTGTCTCAGACGCAGGAGCTGCAGAATTTTCTTGGTTTTTGGGTCGATAGCATTGATACTGCAAAATGCAACCAACAATGTACATGAAACAACAGAAACTGTTTGCAAGAGACGCTAACATAATAACAAACACATACCCACGGATACGAATGATAAAGAGCAATTTGGCCTCTGGGTCGACATAGAACCCTCCTTTCAACTTAGCCTCCCTCTTCAATCGGATCAACTCATTATCCTAAACAAAGAAAAGCCAGGAACATTACATCAGAACAACCATCAACAGAAGAGTCATCTTAATAATTCCAAAATCAACAAAAGTATGTCTCTTTACCTTCTCAGCGTACTCTTTGGCGTACTGCTCAGCTCTCTTGAAGATAAGCTTGCGGGTCTCAACACTCTTCTTCTTAGCAGCAACAGTTTCCTCTTTCTTGGCCAATGCCCATTCCTCTTGCCTCTTGATCTTTTTCAAGACAGACTCTGGAACCACTACCTTGGATTCAGCCATTTCTCCTACAAAATAATGCCAAAAATGAGCTATATACTAATCAAAACAATAAATAAAAGATACACCTTTTAGCAATACAAGTATCAAAGGAACATCCATGGATATAATTGAAAGCCAATGAAAGAGAAGATCATGATTCTTAATCAACGTGAAATTTCGCTACAATAGAACTGGAACAATTGGGTTTATCGATCTCAAAAACAACCAAATTTAAAATGAATCAACGAAGACTTACAATTAGAAACCAAACTAAACGAAGAAGATCAGAGAAAGGAGCTTACTTGAGATGAATTGGTATTCTCAGAGAAAAAAGAGAGAGAGATAGTGATGCGGCGCAGAAGGAGAACAAAAACAAACAAGTTGTGAAAAATGGGTTTAGGGTTTAATTCGTAACCCTAATTTTTCAATATTTTTGAACGGGCCTTACTTACTTACTTACATAGGAGGCCAATTTAGCTATCGTGGGCTGGTTAAATCGGCCCAAGTGATTTTACAAAATTAATTAATACAAAACACTATCATTATATAAGTGGTCGGCTATGTCAAATTGTCCGATCAATTGGTTTCATCGAACGTTTGGTTAAAATTGGTTATATGGTATGTGAAGTTTGATGAATCGATAGGACGTTTTAATTAGTAGTAGTCTGGTCTAATCAGCTTTTGATCTTCTATTAATTTAATAAATTGTCCTTAGTGAATGCGGTTTAGACTTTTGACAAAGCAAACTTAAAAATTGGAGGTTAGACCTCAGTTAAATCTTGACGACTCCGCAACATTTAAATAGTTATCATATTGTCCATATGCAGTATTCAGCTATGATATTAACCGTTGTATACTTAGAAAATTTCAAAAAAACATTGAGGACATGCACACAGCCACACACTGACACCACATCCGCATACATTACACAGTATATACAATGTATGATATATATGAATTACAAAGAAACAAAGAAAACATAAAAATGAATATCACCTACCGAATGTGAACCTTTTGGAAAATATATAAAAACACGTTCTAAGGAATAAGATGGTCGATTCGAAAATCGAAATATAAAAAAGCTTGGTCAACATAGCTAATTAGCTCATCATTATATAATGCACTACATATAATATGGATCAAGAAAATCAAGAATCACCGAAGCTAAAATGGCGGGAGGAGGAACGACCTTAGAGTTCACGCCAACATGGGTGGTTGCTCTCGTCTGCTCCGTCATCGTCTCCATCTCTTTCGCTGTCGAGCGTCTCCTCCATCGTGCCGGAAAGGTTATATATATGCACACACATCTATCTTTGTTTATTTATATAGATTTCTACGTTGTCGCCTAAATGATTATGCCGTTTATGGTATACATGTGGAATACAGCACTTTCAGAAGAACGACCAAAAACAGCTTTTTGGGGCATTACAGAAGATCAAGGAAGGTGTGACATCATGTTTTAGCCAATCATATATTATAAAATTTACTAGATTATCTCATTTGTTTTGAAAAGTGCAACCTCAACCTCCGTTTCAAATTAATCCATTATCTATTCATTGGTAATAAAAGTTTATAATGATCATGTGATATCATCGCTTTAATCATCGTTCTAACAAGATTCTTACAAAAACCGTGAACTGGCAACAGAACTTATGTTGCTAGGGTTCATATCGTTGCTACTATCAGTGAGCCAGTCTAAAATAGCAAAGATTTGCATATCAAAGGACTTGAGTGAAAAGTTTCTCCCTTGTGATAAACCAAAGGATGACAAATCCCTCAAGGACTCCTCCCATTTCCAGTTCAGCTTCACCGGCCGTCATCTCCTCGCCGGAGATTCCCCTGCCGGCGATTACTGCTCCCAAAAGGTATTTACCCTTTCTAAGAATTTTTTTTTGGTCAAACCCAAGATATATTTATAAATCTTTTTTTTTTCTCTAATGTCTTACACGTTTCAGCATTTGTTACATTCTCAATGATATATGATTGGATTTGAAGACGTGCATAGAAATTGACATTCGATTGTCAAATAATGTGATTTTTTTTGTTTGGATATTTTTAAAAATTCAGGGGAAGGTACCGTTAATGTCGTTATCAGCTCTGCACGAGCTTCATATATTCATCTTCGTATTAGCTGTCTCCCACATTATTTTTTGCCTCTTGACCATTCTTTTTGGTACCATGAAGGTATTTAATTTCCCAATTACGTTTTTAACTTCAACAATATTAATACGTTTCTCTATCTTCAGTCACTAATGAAATATCATTGATACTTACAAATCCTAAACTCTAAGATCAAAAGCTCACACCAAAATTAAATGCAATTGTGAACTTATATCAGCATAAAAAGTTTCTTGTTAATTCTGTCTAATGATACCATAACATATATAATGGTTATTGGCATAGATAATGCAATGGAGAAAATGGGAGGATCAAATTTCAGAGGAGGACTACAACACAGACCAAGGTATAACAAAAGTATGATATAGAAAGAAACTTAGTAGAATAATGAGAGATGTTTGTTTCAAGGTCTTGAGAACTTTAAAAAAAAAAGGATAATTATACATTTTATACACATACACAGTGATCCAGAAGAAATTCACACACGTTCAAGAACACGAATTTATAAGGGGGCGATTTCTTGGGGTTGGAAAAGCTGATGCTTGCTTTGGATGGTTGGTGAGTGTTTTTTTTTCTACGATTACAAAGTTATCTTAATTCTCAAGGCATGCATGTTGTAATTGTATGTACATGCAAACGTTTTGAGTACTTGAGTGTGTTCTTGTCCCATGCAGCAATCATTCATGAAACAATTTCTTGCCTCAGTCAATAAATCAGATTACATCACTATGAGGCTAGGATTTGTCACGGTATGTATATCTTGTATTTTGGTTCGTCCTTAGAGTTGAATTTATATCTACAAAAGCTTCTAAGTTCTAAAACAACTTCTTCATTTCTCCTTCTTTCATATAAGACTCATTGCAAGAGCAACCCAAAATTCAATTTCCATAAGTATTTAATGCGTGCCCTTAACTCCGATTTCAAGAAAGTTGTCGGTATCAGGTAAATATATTTCAAACTTTTTTCTTAAAAGTTAAAACCATACTTGATTCAAAAAAAATGTTTTTGATTCTGTTACAATGTATATATAAACTTGCAGTTGGTACCTTTGGGTATTTGTGGTTCTCTTCTTGCTTCTAAACATTGCTGGTGAGATAGGCATCTTTTAACTTCAATCCAAACTAAGTCTTCTTCTTTTAGTTTTAATCATTAATCTATTCGATATACTATATTCCTTGCAGCCTGGCATGTTTACTTCTGGCTAGCTTTTATTCCATTGATTGTAAGTCCCTGAACCTCTCCACCTTCTCTATTCTTCAAACCCATCTTGACCCAAAACGTGTTTTATACAATATTCTCCTCAGCTTTTGCTTGCCGTGGGGACGAAGTTGGAGCATATCATCACAGATTTGGCTCATGAAGTAGCAGAGAAACACATTGCTGTGGAAGGAGATTTGGTTGTCCGACCATCAGATGATTTATTCTGGTTTCAAAGTCCCCGGCTAGTTCTCTTCTTGATCCATTTCATTCTTTTCCAGAACTCCTTTGAATTAGCCTACTTCTTCTTTATCCTCGTAAGTTTAATTTATACCATAAATCAAATCTAAACCATTCTAGAAGATATCATCAACATACATGTAACATGATCATACATTGAATACTGTGGCAATTGTAACAACAGTTCCAATATGGATGGGATTCTTGCATCATGGGACATGTCAAGTTCATAATTCCAAGACTCATCATCGGGTAATAGTAGCCATTATCGCCGACGCCTTCTTATATCTATCTCCTTAAAAAGTTTCTTGATCTTGAAATGTAGATTCTTTTGACTCTGTTTTCAGGGTATTGGTTCAGCTTCTCTGCAGTTATAGTACCTTACCGCTCTATGCACTTGTCACTCAGGTATGGATTTTACATCTCCTTGTGTTCTGAGATCAACTAGACAATGACACAAACTCAAAACCACGCTTCTTCTTTTTTGTGAAAAAGATGGGAAGTTCATTCAAAGGTGCAATATTCAACGAGCAGACGCAGCAACAACTTGTGGGATGGGCAAAAATGGCTAAAAAGGGAGTGAAGAAAGGTTCAACTCACGCAGGTAGCAGTCATGGTGGCAGTCCAAACCCTCTTGCAGCTACTCCTTCACCGCGGTCTATTCAGTTGCAGTCGTTGCTAGGAAAAGGCTCGTCTCAACAAAATCAGCACCTTGGGAAAACACCAGAAATTGTTGAAAAAGATTAACAAAAGCTTCCATCAGACAAAAACATCATGAGACTTTGCTTAGTATCTAAAACTGATTTAACAGTGTTGTAAGAAATATGTCATTGCTGAATCTCTTTGTCAATTGATCAACACATACAATTTGTTTTCTAAACAAGCCTTTGTGTTTGGAAAATCTTTAACGTTCCTTCTGTATCATTACAAAAAGATCTTCTATTTGCAAGTAACAACACCGTACTACTAGTCTTTATGTATTCCGTATTTTGTGTTTGGTTTTAAAATTTCTTCAATGACATGCGAACAAATTAATTATATAATTGGTGTAGAGGAAGAGATCCAGAAGAAACAAGTATAAGTAAAAGAGGATACTAATAGCTGAAAGAGGATTCTGATATATGTCACTCCAAACAGGAACCACGAAATTTCAACATTTTTGGTTTAAATATTTAGTTTTTAGGCAAGGTGAAAGGATAAAGGGGAACCGGTGACAACGATGAGATCTGTATCTAACAGACAACATAAAAAGACGAGAAAGAGAACCAGCTGTTACATCATTTGGTGATAAAACAGAGAAAGAGAGTGAGGTCTTGCAAATTTATTCCCATCATTCCTCTGCTGCACTCGCTGCGTTAAGATCCACACTTAGATCCAATTCCTGCAACACGAAACAATGATCACTCCCCAATTGCAGAAGATGTCGCGGTTCATTAATAAAACCGATATATTCGTGATTCTGGAACATTACCTTTCCGGTGATCAATTTATACATGTTCAACACATCAACAACAGTTGTGTCAAAGTGTGTTGTAGCATCATAGCTCTGTTTAGCACATGAACAGAAAAGGTATTTAAAACCAGTCAACTTTAGGATGCTCACAAAAATAAAAAGGGATAACTACACTAACCGTTGATATGAAGCAGTTGTCTAAAGTGGGTTCGTTGACAGGCTCATATCTATCATAGATGTCAAAGAACAGCTCATCAACAGGACCCAGAAGGTCGATTCCAGGCTTGAGCTCGGTTTGAGGGTTATCAGTTTCAGCGTCTGTCGATACAAATGCTATGAATTTTCCCTTGGGAGCAACGTTGTGTGAATACGAACAACAGAAGACATACCTGTCAGTTACAATAAAGATGTAATCATGAGCCGAGAAACAAACATACCAATAAACTCGATGTTTACAAATTGCCATGTTTTATAGTGTGTGTGTGTGTTTGATAAGTATTTAATATAGTTGAGAAGAGTCTCTAGCCAACATTCGTCTTAAGAAACTTTATCTCTCAGCTTCAACTGTGAATCGAGGAAGGTATCTCAAGAGCATAATTTAGACAAAACTTAGCTATTCCAGAGGACAAATCTATGCAAATTGACGTCTCTGTTCCTTCAAGTCATTCAAACTCATTTACTTTCATAAGTGGAACCAAAGGATGAATAAGAGAACTCACATGTCTGATTTGCGACCCAATTGTTTTTGGGGTAGGATGACTTGCACAGAGTGAGAATCATTGGTGTTTGGAATAGGGTGGCTCATAATAGCAATTGCCCGAGCAACCCTGCCAATCTTCCTGACCTGTTTTGATTGGATTATAACACATCAAAACTACGTTAACATATATAGTCTGGAAAAAGTGGGAATTTTTGAAAATGCCCCACAGACTCGACTAAAACACAGATGGGAACTATATGGACCCAACAAAAAAAAAACCCAAGGAGAGCTTCCTGCTCCTATAGAGAAGCATCAGAAAAAACTAATAAATGAAAGTGTAACTTGTGGTCGCAGTCATTACCTTGTTAGGCAGGTAAGATGGATCGCAGACAACTTTCTTGCATTTAGCAGTCTCTCCCTCAGATGTAACACCAGTAACCTTACCCTCCTCATCGAACTCGACCTGTTATAGAAGCAACATCAGTTACTGAACGACTGAAGCAAAAAGCTGCAAAGATAAAGAAGTCAAAGACACCTTGCACTCAGGTTTGTTCAACATATATGTCCCACCATAGACAGCACTAAGCCGTGCAAATGCCTGAACCAAGGAAGAGAAGAAAAATATTCAAAGGGATTCAAGAATCTATCATTCAAAATTTCAGAATAGGCACCACCCATATAAACTATAAAGCATGTATATAAAGATAAAGACAAACCTGAGGCAATTCTCCCAACCCATAGAGAGGATAAATATATGGTGAACCTCCTTGGAAACGTGCAAGAGACTCTGCGTAGAGCTGATAAAACATATAAAGCAACAATGTCAAAAATGCTTAACTCAGAAAAAAATGCAAGAATGTTAAAACAAGGGGAGCATAGCTAACAGTCCCACAAGAGCAATTCACCTTCATTCTCATTACAGTATCATAGGCAGGTTGATGGAGATGATTGTCATTACAGTGAAGTGCCACTGCATGACCAATAAAATCAATAGTATCTTCACCAAGACCGAATTTCCTGCCAAAATGTAATCTTAATAGTTAGCAGCAGATAGTCTAAATCATATATTTACAATACCATAATGCAGAAATAAAAGAACATCAACTTACGCAATCAAATCCTTTGTTGTAACTCTCCTCAAATCCATTCCGTCATGTGTTTTTGGATCCTTCTCGTCATATTCCTGAACGTAGCTGAAAAACTTCCCGGCTCGACGTTTCTCAAAAATACCCATAAGAGGAGATTTGAGGGCCTCCATTGGAGTTGCTGGCACCTTTTGAACCTGTAGTATATAAACAGGTATAATAACTAGAATTAAGTTAAGTAAACTGCAAAAACCTGCAGCTAAATTGTTCAGTGAAAAGTTTTTGAGCAACAGAAAGCATGGCAGACTTGAAATTTATGGGAAAAAAAAAAAGATGAGACTGAGTCCGAAGATCAAGTGAAAAGGAGTTCTCACTGTACCTTGCCTTTGACAAAAACATAGCTTCCATCAACAGCTTTAAAAGATAAGTACTTGGTCACATCCGTATGAATAAGGACACGAACAAGCTTTCCATTAGCCATCATAAACTGGTCCGCCACATTGAGAGAGAACAGTTAGTAAGTAATCCATAATATTAGTAGTAGAACAATTAAGCTACCAAAGAGACGATTAAGGTGGAAAAAATAAGCAAAAAGAATACCTTAGGCATCATGTCAACATTGTAGTCTCTGCTAGAGCCTAAATGAGCAGGAGCCTTTTCTTCTCCCCTGAACTTCTTCCACAACTGTAAAACAAAGCAACAGTTGAGATTAAGCGATGATAACCTAAACACAAAAAAAAAGGGTCTAGAGTAAAGATAAAAAAGAGAGAAATTTGACCTGATTGAGATTAAGCGATGTTGACTCTCCACCGTAGTGGTCATTCCTGTCCATGTGAAGTACCTATTCCGAAAAAAAACACAATTAGATTACTCATAAAAAGTAAACTTGGCTTATGGATTGAAGACAAAGTCAGCTAAAAATCACATTGACGATACAGGAGTGGGAGAAGACATCTAATCACATGACGAAGTTTAGTAATTTTCCGCAATCTCAATAATCACAAGTATCAAACTGTAAAGAATCGCGAGGCCAATTGGTTCAATGATCAAAACCCATGTTGAAGCACACAAAAGCAATCGCTTAAAATCGGGAAAACCTGAGCTCACAATCGAAGATCCGTTCATCGTGAAACGAAATAAAAGATGGTTCTGAGTTATGAATTTTTCCAGATCAAGCAAAGGATTCAAAAAGTTCCCACAAAAAAATAGAGACCCGAAAGAGTAGGGGGGGGAAAGAGACCTTAATACCATCGACGGAGAGAAGACCACTAAGGATGCACTCCTTGAGACCAGTACCCAGAACAATGACTTCGTACTCTTCATCCATAGCTGAATCCCCCAAAGGCTCGCACACACAAGAAAGAGTTGGACTTTTTTTTGGCTATTTAGTAAAAAGATGGAGGAGAGACTCCAGAGAGAGAGAGAGACAGAGAAAGACCGATCGGTGATTGCGTTGCGTCTATTTATTAATCACCGTCGAACACAAATTTTCCTTTTTTTTTCAGTGTTCTTTATTTTATTTTATTTTAACAACAATTATTTTTCCTTTTCCATTATTACAATGGATAAATAAAAATTGCAAAAAAGGAAAAAAGACATTATTACATTTTTGTTGTTGGTGTAATAACGTTTTTTTATTTGTTATTTTACGGTAAGTCGACACTAAAAAAATCAGGTCATAAAAATAAATAATCAGAAAAAGGAATACGTGTCATGCGTCGTTACTGTGTTGAAATTTTCCTTTAATTTTCTTTCTTTTTTTCCATTATCAATCATTAAAGAAATAGATTGACTTGAAGTTTTCCTTTTTATTTTCGGATGTTCAGTCTCTCTTGAAACTTCTTGAAGATCGCTCTATACTTAATAATTGCCAATCTGCCATGGCAAAGACAAATCTATGTTGTAAGTATATTTCAAACAAACAAAAAATCAAGTTTTCTTTTTAAGAAGACTAGTTGCCGGCCATGGATTCTGATTGGGATCAGTCCCGGGTTTTGAATTTTTTGGTTAGGTTTCGATGCTTCTGTTGACTAGCACTACTACCTTTTGCTTAAAATCTAGACTCTTTGGAGCAATCTGAGGAGTGGCTGATCCCGCACAAGTCTGGATTTTTGTACGAGACATTTGCTTCTTCTTATACAATGAGGGAGAATGGGTTTGGTATACACTATTGTTATTCTTGTAAAGGTTTTGCTTTCTCTAGTGTTTTTGAGGGTGGATGGAGAACCAAGAGTTGTGCCCTGAGGAGCTTGTAACTTCTGAGTTTGAGCCTGAGGAGATCATTGAACTTACGGTGGAAGGAGGTGAAGGGAGTGATGTGGTTTTTGCAAGAGAGTCACCTCTTATAGGTACAACTCAACCGAGAAATTTCTGTGCTTGTAGTTCAAAGATACTGAAATGCTCATCTTCTTGTGCAACACAAGAAGCTTAATAGACAGGATAGACTCGATTTGGGACGGCTTTTCCAAGTTGCTGTTAGTTCTCAGGATTGGAAGCTTTCCGAAACATTCATCAGTCTGGCTGATCCTCAAACTTTGAATGGTTTTCTGTGTATTAGTCTAGATTCTATTTGGTTCTTGAGCACAGAACATGAGTTACGGGGAATCACTGGATTGATTACAAAGATCGTATGTCATGGTGCTCATGACTATACTAGAGCTACACTTAGGACTTCGTTTCTTGCTTCATGTGTTTCATCTTGCCAGAGCCAGACTGTGAGTCTTGCTGATTCTATTACTGTTATGGCTCAAAGGTACACATTTGATTCTCTCATCAGATGCTTCCCCTTTTCTCATACTAATTATAATGGCAACGCAGTTATTAGAGAATTGAGTTTCTGTTATAAGTTCTTGATTCTTTCTGTTATAACACGTACATTGTGTCTTACGTGTTACATCTGCAAGTGTTTTGTTTTGTTAAATTTTCTTAGAAGTCGTTTTTTTTTGTTAAATCTGTAATATCTCTCATGTTCATCTTATGGTTTATCTTGGGTTAGCTGGGAAGGGTTAGATACCCTTACTATATAAATCCATTTTTTCCCATCTCGGCGTTTCCAGGTTGCATGAGCGTCTCCAAGAGTGTAATGGTGATGAGGTCCTCAAAGCAGAAGCTGCTGCCAAAGTTCAAAAGTTTACTGAATGGGCCCTCAAATGTATAGGTTTTCACTCCCGATGCCAGGGCCCTAGAGATAAAGCTAACCAAGACTCAGCTGCTGAGATCCAACTCCAGCTTTCTGCTTTCAAGATGTTCTTAGATCTTGCAGGAAATCATCTATCAGGAAAGGATTTCACAGAAGCCTTTGATGCAGCTTGCTTTCCGCTTACCCTGTTCTCTACCTCGTTTAATCCTGGCTGGGCTTCTGGAATCTCAGCTACTTTCATTCATGGATTGCTTGGTATGCTGGTGGAAGGAGGCACAGATAACGTAAATCAGTGCTTCCTTGAAGCTTCTCGTTTTGGGAGCACAGAACTTGTGCGCATCTTGTTGCAGGTAGATCTAATCCTTAATCTACATGCCGCTGTATAGAGAGTGTGTGAAGGTGGGTGGGCAGCTGCTCTCACAGAAGCTAAGGGGACAGCTTGTGGAAGCCGCAAAACAGCTTCAAGAGTCTGATGTGGCCTCAGAAGAAGTAAAGAAAGGTCACCATCAGTTCATGGCCGTTTTGGAGCAACACCTTCCTCTTTTTTTGGTCAAAGCTTCTTCACACTGAGCAGCAATGGATCCAGCATCTGAGCTATTTGGGTTAACAAAAGTCGTTTCCTCACAATAGTTGAAAAATAAGAACTGAGAAACAACCATACCACTACGGTTTTGGATTCTGATCCAGGTTGTGAGATGATGAATCAAAAGTTCCAATGGGAATGTCTTTGTCAAGTCTCTATATCTGTCTTTTATGCATCCTAAACCATGGGAAAGAATGATAATCAAAGCCTGATCTATTGTTTCATATATTATAAATAAACAAGTAGATATTTTATTTGATCTATAATCAAAGTTACTACTTCTGTCTCATAGTCTTAAAAGTTTCCGCCATCAAAGTCTTTCAATATTAATGTCCCAAATCTCATCTGGTTTTGTTTCAAACCATTAGAAAAGTGAAAATCATGAAACTATGAGAGCAGTTAATTTCTCTGTATTTATATAGTCGTATAATTCAGCATCAACAAAAAAAACAAAAGTTTTACAAATGAAAATAGTATTAATCTCTTTACCCTGAAACCATAAATAAATGACGACAATTGACAAAAATCTCCTCTCTGTTTTTTTTTTATATATAAGATTTCTTCAATTAAAGAAACGTATTACATAAAAGTGGAAGGAGAAGAAGAAGAAGTTACTACATGTTTGGAATTAGAAGAAGGCATGAAAGCAAGAACCATAAGCAAAACCATAATCCCAATAGGAATCAAAAGCAGCATGAAGGGAGGAGGAGGCAGTGGGGGAAGAATCAACGGTAAGATCAAGAGAGATGCAGTGAGACCCACAAGGACAACCATTGATTCCAAACTGAAGTAACTCGCTGATATTAGCCTCCTGGGACTGTTCTGGGACGACAATGTCCGAAACAGTTCTTGCTTCCTCATAATCGGAGCTGGAGCTGATCCACGAAAACTGATGTTCTTCCGGTTATCTCTTCTCATGTCCATCTTCTTGTTGTTGTTGTTGTTGTTGTTGAGTGAACAATGGTCTTGAATGTTTATGATGTCGTTTTGTAGACTTGAGATATCACGAATCATTTAAAGAACAGAACTTTTTTTTTTCTTGGGGGTTGATCTGAGAACTCAGATCGATGTATAAAGAAACAGAGCTCGACTCAAATGCATAAAGCAACGAGCTTTTTAAACTTCTTCCGACAAATGTAGCTTGGTTGAAGAGCCCTAACGATGATAATACTCAGGAGCTCGATATATATATTCCGAAATGCAAACAAAAATACGATTTGATCTTTGGCGTTTTCAGACCCAGAAAGGCTCTAAACTTTTTTTTCCCCCGGTAGAGAAGATTTTTGGTCGGTGTTTACGAAAACTGCAAAGAGAAATAAAAAATTGTAAGTCGTTATGATCCAATAAAAAAACGTGAGCAAAGGACCAATACTGAGAAACGAAGGAATCAAACGAAGATGATCAGATAATGAATCAGAAAAAAAATGAAAAAAAGCAAGTACCTTTAAGACGTTAGCTAGTAGTCAACCTCCTTCAGCGAGAACAAGAAGCTAGAAAGATTGAAGCTTGATCAACGTTAGAAACCAACAAATATGGGTGTCGAAGCTTATAAACCAACAAGAGGAGGATGAAGACGAAGAAAGCTTATAATTTTTTGTAAGAAAACGAATGAATACAGAGGAAGAAATATAAACTTTGGGTTTGGTTTGATATATATGAAAAGTGGTAAAAGATAATGAAAGAAGAAAGAAAATAAATAATCGTTTATTTTTTTTTGTAGGGAGGATTAGACCATCCTCGATGCAAAGGATCTTAGGGGTTTTTCACCATAAGATTTGCAAAGAGGGTATATTATATAAGGTATCCTCTTTGCAAATTCTAGGGTGAAAAACTCCCTAAGATCTTTTGCATCGAGGATGCCCTTACACTGTTGTGGAATCAGAGAAGAAACAGGAAATACAGGAAGGTTCACTGCATGTACAGATTTTTTTTCTTCTTTCTTTGCTAATATATATAAAAAAAAAATTAATATTTTCTCTTTTTGGGGTGACAAGTGTGGAGGCAAGTTGCTGATTCTGGAAGGTCTGAATCTCTCTCTCTCTCTCTCTCTCTCTCTCTCTCCACAATCACAGTGGATTCTTCTCCCCTAGACACTTTCTCTCTCTCTCGATGTCAAATGACGTAGGCTGTTATCGTATTTGAGGTAAGCCTCTGTTTGAGAAGGAGGTTTTACGTTTTAAGATTCTTTAGGACTATTCAATGGTGGTTTATTAGTTAAACGAGCGAATCTAACTAATCTCTTAACATTGTTCGTTTATTGTATTTGTAGTCAACAAAGTTGTTTTGGTTGACAATCCCATTTTTTTTAAAAGTAAGCAGTCGTGACTTTTTTCTTTCCTTTCTGAGTTTGTGTATGTATGGTTTTTTTTTTTTAGTCTCGTAACTCGTAAGTATTTGTATTATAAGATGTATAAAGTGAACCGTTGGTAATACGAAAGCACGTAAAAGATATTAACCACTTGATGATGATGTTTAAAGAAAAAGAATGAAGCTAGTAGCTAGTTGCCTTCTTCCTTCTTCGTTGCATTGTTTTGATAAGGTGGTATAGATTGAAAACTATGGATTGGAAAACGTACCAAATGAGAATTGTAGAGATAGCAATAATTCATGGATTGAATGAAGGTGAATTACCAATTTTAATTTGACAACTATATTCAACATTTATCAAAGGAAGACTATATAATATTGTGGATTAAATTTTTAAAAAAATTTCCCACCTAATAATAATGTTTTGTCTATGTGTTATTATCGATCGACCGATGATGACCCATATTGTTATTCCTCTTCTCGGCATTTTCATGTGGTGGCTCTATCATATATATTAGTGGGACAGTTGGTCCTTTCTTTATTTCCTCTTTCGTTTTTTTTCCTTTTATTATTTATTAGTTATAGCCCTGCAAACTCATATTTTATAGACAATATATATATTGTCTAATTAGGTAGATAACTATATAAGGGTTACATATTAAAGTTTATCAAATGGGATTATATTTATACATGTATATTACTTTTGGTTGCGTGCGTGTTTAATTACGACTTACGAGTTACGAGGGACATGCATGAATATTTTTGGCAAGCAGTTTTGTTTTGGCGGTTTGGGGTATATTAACACAATTGACAGCTTACCTGAATTGTGAATCCAATTACGTACTCTATTTTTATTTTATTTTTGCAATCCAAACACACAACAGTACTAATTCAATGAATCGCATAAATAACATCTAATATATATTACGTCTTTTCCCAATAGAACAAATTCAAACAGGGAGGGTTTGATTGCTTTTTTTTGTTTGTCAACCACTAGGTCATTGACATTACTATTCTACAAATGATAATGGCTCAAGTAGACATATATATAAATTACAACAAAAACTTTACCTCACAAGCCGCTATAAACAAATATATACCTTTAAGGCCATAGTAAAAGAGATAGTGATGCAGAATTATTAACTAAACAACAACGACAAAAGTTAAACTAGAGTAATATATAAATAGTAAGTAGCATAGTGATATCTTCCCGATATACTCAAAAAGATATTCTCGAATTATCTTGTGGATATGTACTTGATTCGATATCTTTGATTTCATGTTGTATACATACATGATCTTTATGGTTAGGATCGATGCCACTAGTTCCTATGTCAAATAACTTGTATATATATATATGAACGTAATCAAATATCATGTTTATAAAACTATATATAATGCTATTCAGATTTATAGAAAAAACTATATTTAATCATATCATTATAAATATTTATATATGTAAGCATTTGTTGTAAGGAGAGCACAACCTCTTATTCAAATCAGACAAAAGAAAAAGGAAAAGATTTGTATTCGTAGCTAAAACCAAGAAAGATATAGGATTTTAATTACAGTTCTAAGGTGAAATCAAATTATACTATTAGGGTTTGCTTGTTATATTATATAGTTATATACATTCCATGTATAGTTGATGGTGTATATTTTAATTTTAGAAAGAAAAGAAAAAGCAAAATGGTAGAAAGGGAAAGAGATATATATAGAAATGGAAACCCATGCATGATTGCCTTGAACATCGCAAAACCCTCCCCTTAGATTGCATGTCTAGTGGTCATATATACAAGTAGCAGTGGACCTGCCAAAACAATATTCAAGGGACCAAAAATTGTTTATATTATATAGTATTTACACATTTGCTTTAATAATGCATATATGAAAGATGTATTATTATCTCAATAAACGAGTTTATATGATGATGATGATATGCCCACAGTTTTCATCACATACTTGGGAGGTTTTTCTTTAATTTAAAGAACGATTAATTCTATTTCTCAATTAAGACCTCGGCCCACTCTTTTTAATAATTTGGTATTGAAGAAAAGAAAATAAAAAAGTTTAAACCAAAAATATAAGTATAGCAATGATTTTTATTATAAAAAAGAAAGAAAGAAAAAAAGTGGTTTAGTGTAATGTGGATGAAAGGGCACATGTCGTAGTCACGTGGCTAGTTCCCATCGATTCAATGCATATCTCTCTCTCGAGAGAGAGAGAGACCAACTTGATTTATTAATATTCCTCGTACACCTCTCCCCTCCATTCTACACTCTCCTCAAAGAGCCCATCTCTTTCTTCTTCTACGTTTTATACATTTCTTTTTACTATTTTTATATATAAATATATACTTCTCTCTTTTTTTTTAAAAAAAAATTATTGTTTTATATGTCTTTTTAAAACTAATACGTTTAAGAGAAATGGTGTCTTGCATATAACATTGTTAAAATACATATATTTAGTAACTTTTTGAATGTTTGTTTCTTCTATCAAAAATATATAGTTGAGTACTTAGGGTAGGGAAACATATATAAATCACCAAACTATAAAACACTGGATACTTTGGTGTGTTTATAAAGGTAAGCAAGCTAATTATAATGTTGTTTAAGCTCGAAAACATCCATATTTTTTTAGAATTAAGTTTAAACGGTATTGGTGTGATTAGTTAAGGTACTATACAACCGTGCATGGACGGTGGATCCTCATCACCTAATATACATCATACATACGCATTAGTATTAGTTAATTTAGAAACTAATTAACTAACTAGTTGATAAATCAATTCCTACAGTAGTGGCATAGAAGGTAATTATAAAGCTAAAAGTATATATTATCTTGAGGATAAAGATAGGAATAATATACAGTATATATATATGGGGACCTATATAATACTTTAGTCTAATTTTGTTTCCGAAGCTTTATAATGAATGAAGTCTGAGCAAAGATATGACCAAACTCAAAAAGAAAGAATTACGCAAAATTCATGCATCTGGTTGTGATTCATTGCACGTATCTTTCTTACTTAATGATTCTTTCTTAGTTTCACCTCCCTTGTCATAAAAGATAACAAAATAAAAGCTACTACTACAAGCATTTGTTGTCATGTCATTTTAGATTTTAATAAGAAAAAATATAAAGCTTTTTTTTTTTAATATGGTTATTAGAAGATTAAGAAAAGGAATAAATAACAGAAAAAATAAGACAAAATATGGAGGAGTAGGACCCAAGATTGTAAGCATGGTGGTGGCTGCTCTGTTGTTTACAACATCTTTCTCACATTTGACATTTTCGAAGTCTTAATTCAATTTCTATGTGCTTCTCTCACTATTTCCCCTAATTAAAGAGATCTTTTTTTTAATAAAATAGTTGGTTGTTTAGAATTAGACCAAAGGTAGATGTCAAATTTTGTTTCTCCACTTTATAAATCGATATAAACCATAAAAGATACAGTAATCCATATAACTTTATAGAATAAAACCCGACATTTTTAAAATTACCTATTTTTTTCAACTATTATGTAAAATATTCTATAGGATTTAATGAAAATAAGTATGCATTTGCATTACTAGCAAAACTATGTTTTCTTAGATTCTTTTTAAAAAAATTTTTTTTGATACCGACTAAAACTCCCAACAGTAAAGATTAGTGAACGTCTCAAAACTAATGTTTGACGAATATTATATATGCACTCTCAAAAGTTGAAAGTTTCATAACCAAAGATAACAAAATAATATCTCATGTCGGGTATATTTATAAAAGTTTTTTGGGGTAATTAAAATTAATAGTCAAAGAAGACATTTGTGTTGAATGACTGTGTGTGGGATTGATTCAATGTATTATGATTTGTTCCAACCTTTTGACTCTTTCTCTTGTTTCCTTTTCTTAAAATTGTTCCTTTACTGATTGATATATGTATGTACTGTATACTTTTTTCTTTAGACCCTTTCCTCGATCGAACCTTTTACTTACACTACAGTGTCCCTCTCTTACATCAGCCAGCGTATAAACAAATCTCTCAAAAATTTGCATCAAATTGTTTAAAACGTGCTTCCTTATGAAAATCGTTTGATTTCGACTTTCTGTTAATAATGAAAACACGTAACCATAATTTTATTCTTAATTTGATCAAGAGATGCTCCAATCTCACAAAAGCTTTTAACAACAACTCTCAAAAAAAAAAACAGATTCAATAACGTCACCAAAACCCTGAGAATTGAGGTTTTAACAGAAAGAAATAGTTACTTCTTTCTTCATCCTTATCACATTTTTGCTGCTGCATCTGCCAAACGCTTCTTCTTCTTCTTCACACTAGCGGATTTGTACCCGCCTTTGCATGGTTTCCCCCACGGACTTACCGATGTCCTTCCTCTGCTTCCACTACTTTTGCTTTTTCCTTCACCTCCACCGTGCGGGTGATCACACGGATTCATAGCCACTCCTCTCACTTTGGGTCTTATCCCTAACCACCTACTCTGTCCTGCTTTTCTCAGCTTCTTCGTTCCATGGGACGGGTTCGACACTGTCCCTATCGTAGCACGGCATCTCGCGTTGATCCACTTGGTGTCCCCTGATGGAAGCTTTATCAAGCATTTCCCTGAGGCAGGTTCCTTCAGGATCTTGGCGTTGGTTCCGGCAGCTCGGACCATCTTCGCGCCTTGCCCTGGGTTCATCTCGATGTTGTGGATGATTGTTCCGATACGCATCATACCTAGTGGCATGGAACTTCCTACCATTGAGTTGATGTCCATGTGGAGCATCTCTTCTTTCATTTGCGCCACCAATGATTTGTTCTGTGCATCAGCAAAACCTGCAAAATACCAAAAGAGATAAGAGGGCTTAAAGTGTCTTGGCATAAAATAAAACGCATCTAAAACAAAGACATGGGTTTTTATAACCCAAAGCTAGATTGAATCTCTGGATCTCTATATACCAATATATCATGTGGTCAAGTGACTTTCAAGATAAATCTACTCAACAGAGCTAAATCTTAATCATAGATATCCACATAGACTAGAGAAACCCAAGTCTTGTACAGTAAATACATGAATATGCCCTGTTATCACCATTTTTAATGCACTCATCAACAAGCTAATCTGAGGCAGCCAGCACCTGAGTTAGGAAAATAATATGATACAGCTAGGAGAAGAATTTGATACAAGTAGCACCAGAGTTGCAGAGATACAAGCTCAAGCTCTAGATATCAGCGATCCTATGTTCTTCTTATGATTATGAATTCTTTCAACACAAGAGAGTAGTCATAGTGTCAGCCTTCCAGGTAACTAAATGGTCCAAGAAAAGTTGTGAAGAAGAACTGATCTGATACAAGCTCATTCTTATATCATCTAACAAAGAGAAACAATGGCGCTTTCACACTTGTTCATAATCTAAACCAGAAATATCTTCCTTCATCCAGTACATAATACATCCATCTAGTAGAGTCCACAATATCCGAATCCCAAAAAAATCAACATTTACCACTTAAACAGAAGAGACTAACAATGATACTGCCTAGGCAAATCACTCAGACTAATAAACTCACTGTGCAACCAGGTTCCTCAAAGATACACATCTCACAACCCACTCTTTCCAAAATTCATTGAAGAAACTAATCTAAGTTGTAGCAACAAATTTTATTGAGAGTGTGAAAGAAGACTAGAAAGCATATACATCCAGAAATAAAAGAGAAAAGCAAAGCACCTACCTGTAGAGAAATTGCGAAAAGCTGGACGAATAATGCTGTTGAAAAAAGAAGACGAAGCAGCAGCTCGAGCTCTGCATAACGCCACAAGAGCCGACATAAAGGTCGGGTTTTTTCCACAAGCCTCAAGCTCCAACAACCTATCAAATAAACACACTATCAACAGTTATAAATGAATATCCTTTAGGAATTCTAGGCGTGATCTACTCGACCTGGATACCTAATTCATCACAACCATTTTTGTGTTTCCCAATTACTATATGTCTATATCCCAAGTCATTTCTACAACTGTGAGCCGTGCATTGCGAGAGAAAGAGGATGAGTGACTAATCAACCTCTCTTATACTTAAGTCCTCCGTATCGTATGGCTTACTTTGAGATCGAGGACTACTAACCTGAGATATGCGAAATCGAAGAAGCTTGCTTCAGAGAGAGAGAGAGAGAGAGAGAGAGAGAGAGAGAGAGAGAGAGAGAGAGAGAGAGAGAGAGACGAGACGACGTACGTACGTACGTACGTAGTACG